AAGAATCTTTTTCATCTCCGTCTGTTGGTAACATTGCACTTCCGGTTGTTCATAGCCAGTGCTGTAAGTTAAACGTATAATCATATTGATGTACAACTTTTTGGATATCATATATACGTATATATATATACACGCAGAAAATGAGTGAAACCCTGCTCGAACGACATCCGTCAGAGTTATGACTATCTCGGACTGGTGCAAGTCTCATGTCACCCCTTGAAGTTATTTCCGATATGTTGCCCCACGAGAGCTATCCCCAAGTAATTAGGCTGGGTATGTTGATTACGTGAGAGGGTACCAACTGCGCCGTGGCCAAAGATCAATTACAGAGCGCATATCGCGTAAATGAGGGCCATGTGTATGATGCGTTACCTTTGTAAACCACATAAGGGAAAATCACGACAGCCCGTGCTATTTATCCATACAATAAACCTAGGCGGTATGTTCCGTCAGGTAAACTACTCTGCCGACCCTCTAACGTAGGTGACATTTGTCTGATTACTAGCCTACATGTCCTAAATCTGATATCCTCAAAAAATATTGTCATTCCATGTGTATCAGGTATCTATATCCATGTCCATTTTGTATACTTGTTAACTGGCCACTTGTACTATATAGAGTGACCGATACCTGTCAACCCAGCAGGTGATAAGATTCTGAGTCGGCCTTAGGTCGCCAGGGCGTTGTCCCGGTCCGGAGGATACTTATCACTAATATGACACGAGGCCAGTTGCTTTCCCTAGTTGATGACCCACTATGTAGCTCATAAACACGTGGTCTCCGGGATACCAACGTGTGTAAAATAAAACGATGATGATGAGTTTGGGGGGATATTCGTGACATGGGAATACCGCTCAAGGCAGAGATGCTCATGTTTGATACAACCCAAGTACTTCCTCGTAATATAGAGCTAGAGCTGGAACAGCATAGGCGTAAAGTTGACCCTGTAGTTACATCAAAGACATCTACATCACACTGAATTAGATCACAGCCAGTGGTTTTACAATACATATAAAAAAAAAAGATTCGGTGTAAATAGAGACGTATATCGTCCCTAGCGTTAACAGTCAGACACGGTGCTTGCTCTATTGGGTATTCGGTGGGCGGGGTCACATACACCGTTATGTACGATATCTCTCAAGTACATAATAATACAGTAATACAACAATGAGTCTAGGATAGTTAACAACCACAAAGCAGAGAATAAAACTTTAAAAACTGGCACAGATGTATCAATTGAAAGATAATTTCATAATTTCCTATTTCAACAATACATTACTACATAATGTATTTGTACGTAAACATTGTAGGCCGACGTAATCAGACTTATTACACTCAAATGTATACAGCACACTGTATAACCGTAAGATTTACATACTGTGGCCTTTAATTACCTAATGTATAAAGCTGATCGTCGTGTCTATACAGCACAGCAACAAGGGTTCTCTGACAGGAATATACGCACTAGATTTACTGGTTGTTAAACCAGCACCACACCATCGTAAATTAAAAGGGACTACATTTCGAAGTAAATGTGTTCCATTCTGACATGATGAGAAATACTGGTTTTATTTAACGTTGCGTAAATTTTAACAAGGACCAACAATACGACAGTTGTATAATCCATACAGGTCACAGCACAAGTTGTATTTTTGTGTCATCACCATCATGATCCTAACGATAGGTGGCTAATTCCTTCTTATCTTCCGTGTACATGTTTTGTGTGGTTTGTATTCTGGTGTCTGACTTTCAACTACAAATTTTAATTGAAGTGAATCCAATCCGTAGTTTAACGTAATAGGAAGAGCATAACAGTAACAATACCACGTTTTATGTAGTCGATAGTTCATTTCTTAATTAAACAAACAAATAAGTAGGCAAATGTTCAAAGACAACAATATTTCTGTTTCAGCTTAGTATACGGCAAGTAAATTGATACGGTTCAAACAAATTTAAGAAAAATTTAAGGGGAAATATTTATACGTGTAATCAGAGACGTATATAACACATATATACGTCTCTGGTGTAATTTCAAATAATTTTACCGAGATATCCGTTTCATAAGTGCATGTTTCACAATGCATGTAACTTAATCGCCATCAAATCTACAGACTGTTGGACTGCATTGTATAGCAATTATAGAAAGAAACACTTTAAAGAGTATCATTTCAACTGATGAATGCTCCTCGGAAAAAAACCCAACTTTATTGGAGACTTTTCCATTCTGTGAATTTTGTATTTGGTTACGGTACTGACAAATATCTGAAATAAAAATATGTTAAAATGTAGAGTTCGGTAGACGAAAGAATAATAAATTAACATGTTACATCACCGTATTTATGTTTGACATGTACTTAAGCTTGAGCTTGGAAAGTAAGGACATATTTCTCTCACTCGGATACAGAACCTACATGATTATTACTAGTATGTGAGCATATTATATATTTCAGAAAATGTGTTCATAAAATTTTGATATTGTAAATTGTGTAGGAGATAATCAAGAATTCAAAGATTGTAGGCTTTGAACCTGTTATCAAAAAGTATACTTGCTATAATATATTGTGAGTAAGCGCCATCAATTCAAAATACAACTATGTTCTGGACACGATTTTAGCAAGGGTCGATAACTCTGTAATTTAGGGATTGTGGACATTTATTCTACCACTGCACATCACCCTGGTGTAAATAACGTACACACCAAGTTTCATTATCCTTGTTTAACGTTTTACTTCGGACACAAAAAGGACGGACGAATGGAGGAATTTTCAACTCCTCGACAATTTTCTGGTAGCATGAAAATCACATTAAAGCTCCACGCTTGAACTTCCGATGTTTATTTCAACATGTGTGACATACACACTGATGCCACCATCAGACACACAGCTTGAGACACACAGCTTGAGACACGCTCTGTATACAAGCTAATTAATTTGTGATGTAAGTCAATTAACGTAAAAAGACCTCATATCATTATAATTATGTAAAGTTACACGTCAACCTGGGGGCAATTTTTTTTTTCATAATCTAAAACTTCAGTAAAACATCGAAAGCCCGACAAAATTAATGGTTCTGTTTTGTGGATATAAACGTTGCTAATTAAAAGGCTTACAAATATCATCAGACAATCTTACGATTTATACAGGGACGTCCATAGATTTAGTTCATCAGAGAACTCGATCGAAATAGATACGCTGGCATCACTGAATGAAATATTTGGGGTTTTAAAGACGATTAACAAATACAATGTCTGAATATTGGCAAATTCTTTCATATGAAATATCTTCCAACAACACACAGTTTTAAAACACGTAAGTGTTGAATTAATATATATACTTAATTTTCAAAGAAATATATCAGTACAGGAATATATATATATATCCAGTTTATAAACCTACAATTGAGACCCATTTTTTTCCGTGTTCTTGTTGAAAAAAAATGTGTGCGGTATACTGAAAATGGTTTCAACTGTCCAATTCATGTTCATCTTTCTTTCAGTCTTCTGTTAGATTATTAACAATTTATAAATCAATGCCAGAAAAAGCAGCCATCCAAGAAGTTTCAAATCTAAAATTCGGTACAGTCCAAATTTATTACACCATGTCGGAAATAGAAAAGTGCACGTTTATATATTTGTAAAGTTTGTGCAAATGGTAAAAATGTGTGAAAATGTATTGCATTAATTTTTTACTGTATATCATATATAAGCTTTGTAACATTTTATTCTAGAATATTCCTTGTTACTTATTGTCACAATCAATGTTCTTTATTGTGCGTCTCAAAGCCTGTCGGGAGGAACAGAACGGAAATATTTCCCAGTCCCCTCAGGCTTGATCACAAGCAAGGGAGGACTATTTATTACACAGAACAAATGTTCCGAACATAAATTTTTGGAACATTATCAACTCCATTCGGAAAACGATATCTCAGGATTGTTCCGGCTATTTATCTAACGTGTCCACACACAGAGAATAAATTGAAATAAAACAATAATAGGTGCATATTCCATGTATTTTGAGGTAAAACAAAAACCCTCAAATGTAGATATCTATCATTCATCATGTTGTCTATATTTGACACCGAAATTCGTCTTGATTATTTGGATGGCCTTTATGAATTCCTGAACTTGAAGTAGGATATTTCTTTGTTCTTGCATGTCACACACATACAAAAAAAAATCTCTAAACAATTACCAGCCAATATGGACATGTTCTACATCTACATAACACCGTGTAAACTTGAATTGTTAGGTGCGTTTTCCGCGAGATTTATAAGACTATTCCCGCAGCTGTAAATTATAATCATATCGCGAATTAATGTTCCACATGTGCTAAAAAACAATGTCGGGAAAATAAGTATTTCACGTACAGGTTTACCAAGTGACATACATTATTTGGTAAAAAGCATTTGACAAAAAGTCTTGTACCGGGCCCTGTCACAGTCGGAGAAGAATTGGGATCCAACAATGGTTTGGTTGTAATTATATAGAACCTTGTTTCAGTATTACTATCTATATACCATCTAAGTCGCTTCCTCATGTGTTCCCATAGCAACCTTAAGCGATGGTACCGAAATACACATGAAGATCTCGACTTACCGGCTTCAGAATAGCACTTACGTGGGACAACCTGTAAACTTAAAGAACTTTTACAGTATTTTATTCTAACATTTCTCAAAGACAGAAACTTGTAAAATCATCCCCCTCGCCTGCTGATTGTTCGGAAATCGATACCGTATGAAATCGGAATCGTGTGCGATTGATTAGGTAATGATATATAGTAAGTGGTCTTATCATCCCAACCCTAATCCCCTATTCAGGTCCAATGGGATCGCCCATCCCAATACATGTGCAGTCGTTGCATTTTCCAAAGATGGATGTAACCTTATCGTGTGGCTGCGTGACGTATCTGTACGGGGATTCTATCCTCCGACTATCCACCCTCTGGTAGGCTACTTGGCACATTCCAAAGGTATCTGGTCTAAAATTGTTTGGCATTCTCACTGTGTGTTTACTTCAGCATAGCCCTTTCGAGTCTCTGGGAGCACGGTGTGTGCGTTGAAAGGCAGAAGTCAGGGAGGCTCTCGTCTGCAGTTGTTCTAGCATTTCCCTTCTGCTCCACAGTTCTTCTTCGTTTTTTCTCTTTAGAAACCTTTTAATTCTCAAACAAAATGGATGCTATCAAGAAGAAGATGCAGGCCATGAAGGTCGACAGGGAGAATGCCCAGGACCTGGCTGAACAGATGGAGCAAAAGTTGAAGGAAACAGAGACAGCTAAGGCTAAGGTAACGTCAAAATTTACTATCTGTCACAAAAGTCTTGTAATGACCGTTAATTTTACGCTAAGTGCCAATAATGGTGTGAAAACTGCCAAATGTTTCGACAGAACTTCTGAAAGTTTTCTTGTGTGATTTACATGTATGTAATGTCTTTGGACAAAGAGAAAACTCGCTAAAATAAAGTGCTAAATTCTATTTTTTTTCCACGATATATCTTTTCACATGTAAAAAAAATTCCTTCTCACGATATTATCGCTGAACAGCAAGGTCACAGGGATCGGCCATCTTGAAACTTGATCCGCTACAAGGATGGGGATGTTGTTATTGCTATCTGTTCTGGCTGGAATTGATTATAGAACCACTAACCCCTCAATCTCGCCGATTCGCACGTTAATGCATCGCCAAAACGTTCTGCTGCTATACATGTTTCCAGCTGTAGATACTCGTTATACAAAACACCCCTTGTCAAACTTTCCTGTAAATGCATGTACCGTCACATGAATTCCCAAGAAAAGAGTCAACCAGTTCTATTTTGCACTGCTGTTTCTGTGTATATCAAGTTTAGCTATCGTAGATATACTAACCGGTAGTTTCTGGTCTCTCTTTCTGTCATATATGGTCCGAATGGCGGGCCGGATGCAGCGCTAGCATTGTCACTGTGCATGCGCAGGCACGTGTGTCGCTTTCAGGTGTATTGTTACCTTGCACGGCAGGTAGCTATAGACTATCCCCCTGTATGTTAATGTACGAGGATTCCCGACCAATATAGATAATAATAAAACATTAGAAGTTTATGAAGCATTAATCCGGTTTGGAAAATAATAATGAATGTTACATTTCCCTACAATGTCAATGTCAGAAGTTTGTTTAGACATTTTGACTGTTTAAGCACAGCAACTCTAGGTATGCCTTATATGGGCATCATCATATTATGCAGACCACGGAAAGATGATCTTTGATCACCATGCTACCAAGTACGGAGTATTTCAGTACTGGACGTAAACTATTTCGTAACTTCACAATAAACAGTCGTCATTTGAACTTGGAATTTGTAAGAAAAAAACTTTCACAACTATAGTACAGATACGTTTTTACTTACACGTTCTACACATAGTAACAAATATATAATGTTGTTCAAATGTCACTTACAATTAATAATATCACCGACAAATTTGGGTTCAATTTCGAATTGTTTTATATTTTCAGTTGGAGGAGGATTTCAACGATCTCCAGAAGAAACTCACCACCACCGAAAACAACTTTGATGTAGCTAACGAACAGTTGCAAGAGGCAAACACTAAGCTCGAGAACTCAGAAAAACAGATCACCCAGGTAAGTAACCACGCCCCATAGCCCCGCACCCCTCACTGTCCCCCAAAGTGTTAGCAGGATATGCCGGGGCGTAACTGATTTCCATCATGAGCTGTCACTGAGGATGACATTAGTAACTTTAACTACCAATAGAACATTTTATTGCCCAATTTTGTAGATAGATAATTACACATTTAAGTCTGGTCCATCCTTGTTGCTCTGCGCATGGCTTTCAGTTTCGTTGCATTCTATTTATTTAATTATGTGTCTCTCTTTGTGTTTAACTTTATTGCTATCAATTAGCTTTAACAGCTCGTGTGGTGTTCCCATGGCGATTTTATAAGTACAGGAAACGGGAACTCATCCTTGTTGAAAAATGCCAAATGTTATTCTGATACTTCGGAAAGTGTGTTGACCGTTTGTGATTTGTTTAATTTTGATGGGAAATTATTAATACCAAGTCGGTACAGATATTATCGGCTGCAACCAATTATGACATGTGGATTTTACTTGGTAAGAGGATTTTCTATATAATGTATTAGTGCTGGGCTTGCCTCCGTCGGCGGGCGGGTGTATTGTATTACCGGCTTATGTGCGATAACAGACGATGCTGTGTAGTGTATGCTAGCCTCACTGATTCATACATTAGTGTAGCTCGTGACGTCACCACTACCCTATTTGGAATACAACGCGAGGAATGCTTGCCACTCAGAAGGAGTACAGCTTTTCCATGTAGTGGATATCACCCCTCCGCAAGGAATTTGTTCGTCTGTGATCAATATACGAGATTATTGTATAACTCTTGAACTTCGGATTTGTTTACAAATCGTGTGAAAATATTTTATGGATTTTGGGATGCTTATAAATTGAAATAGTATTTTCAAACAAATCATGATAGTTTGTTTTTAATAATACTCTTCTGCTATGGAGCACGGTGATTACCTTGGAGCCGGTCTTTCACAGGAATCAGTGGCTTCCGTTCAACTTTCGCAAGACTCTGTGACGTCAACAAATTCTCAGGACTTAACTTCGGAATTATTTGTGTCGGGGTCACCCGCACCGGACATTCCTGAGGGCGATACGGAGGACAAAATAAAATCAAAACATAAATCGGGAAAAAAGAAAATTAGAAAGAAAAAGAAGAAAAAAGATGGCGAAACTGGTGAAGATATAGATGGTGAAAATAAGAAAACGAAAAAGAAAAAGAAGCGATCCTCTTCTAGTCGACCTGAACCAGAGGGTGGAAATGCCCCAGATTATATGGACCCGTTTGACAGGATAATCTACAATAATGATCCAATATTTTCGGATGTTGAACTTTCCGGGGATGAGGGGGAAGCCCCGACCCCTTCACGCCCTCCTAGGAGTTCCTCCCGGCCCTCGAGACCCGGGGGTATTACAATAGTCTGTCTGCCAATGGGCCTTCACTCCAACACTATGATTAAGTTTGCAATTATTGGAACCGAGATCCAGAACGAATTACGAATATCGCTAAAGCGGGTAGGCAAAAGTGTCCTAAATAAAGTTTTTTGCATGAGATATTAGGTGCATGGCTGTTCTGTTCACATAATTGAGTATAATTTTTTATCATATTTTGATATCTCTGTTTTTGGTATATTTAATCAACTAACCATCCAAAAGCAAGGGATGTTGTAGTATAATAGTATTACCACCAATGGAAATCAGAAGCATACACTTGTAGATACAATTTATCTTATCTGGTACAGGGGCGTTGAAATAAACGATCAGAATTTATTAACGAAAATAATCGTGTAGTAAATCGAGATTGTTTTGCCAAGTTTGGTTGCTTTTGCCGACATTTTGTGGAGAAGATGAAGCACTGGAGATGATACAACCTCCGCAGGCCTTGACCCGCCTCCTCCCGCTAGCGTACTGACAGTGGCTCGTGTTCCTCATTACATGTACAGCTGCTGGCACCCCTCCAAAATAATTCAAGGGTGGTGGGACCGACGAGAAAACGGAGAGCCATTCTTAATATATCAAAGTCATAACTCAGAATATCATAGCTAAAAAAACAAAAAAAAAAAAGCATCGAAACAACCTTAATCATATCTGTTAACTTCACTGTTACTGTTTCGTTATGTAGACAGAAAATGTCACTTTTATTATTTCATTAATTTTTCAATAGAAAACGAAGGTGTTTCAATATTAGTTATTAAAACTGAATTTCAAATACGATTCAACTACTGTTATGATTTTTTAAAGATATATCTTCATAATTGTGGATATCTCTTTTTCAATGCCACCCTGAAATATGAACATTTTTTATGAGAATAATCACGTACGTGCTAATAATATGTAATGCTACTTTTACTACAAATTATGTGTTACCAATTTGGTTGTTAAAACCATTGACGTATAACAATGTATGGTATAAAAGGGAGGCAGGTAATTTGTTTTTATAATGAACTGCTGTTAAATACATTCTCATACATTATTGAACATTGTTGTATATTACTGTAAAATGTCCATTTACTAATTGTCCAATTAGTGAATATTATATTTGCATGTAAAATTTATTACTCAAACAGGTCTCCAACTCAGTAAGTTAAGCGTAAGCTCGTATTTACATTTCGTAAAGGTTATCGTAGGTCATATGCCATATAAGGCAAATAACACTTAACGAGGGAGTGAACTCTCCTGTGTCAACAGCACAGGTGTCTGCTTGAAATAGGTCACATGATATTATTACAATTTATTGTGCATTTCCCGGGCGTATGAATATAGTGCTTGAGTCAGACTTTCTGAAAGTATCTTTTATTCTAACAGGGGAAATATTTACGTTCCTACTCATAGTTTGAGAGTATTTATGGCTATATGGTGTACATAGAATTTAAATAAGATTCGATCAGATCACGAACACGTCGGACCTATTTTCTGTCGTCACATCTGTAGAGTATTACCAATAAAGTAGTGTTCAGGACTGTATGTGACAAGTAGACCCGATATACTCAGGTTTGTGGACTGTACAAATTTTCAAAATGGATAGTCGATATGGATCAGGGGCGACAACATTGCAAGCACTTAAAGACAAAATGACAAAGATTAGGAAGGAAACCGAAGACCTTAGAGACCAACTTGAACGAAAAGATCGAGAACTTGCAGCAGAGGAAGAACGGTCTTCACACGTAGGTGATGTTAAATAATGGTGGTCTATTGATTGTAAGGACGGTCATTCGATGTTTTGGACATATTCCAGTAGTTTTTTATATGATAACACTTGTCAAGCTTCTTAATTATTACATGTGCTTTTTATTAATGATTTTGACACTCTGAAATGACATAATCGTGATCGGGCAGGCACCCGGCAATCATGGCGGATATTCAAGTGGCGATAACTCGTTACTGTCTGTAATTTTAAAACCATAATTTGTTGTGTTTAGTGTGTGATTCTCAATTGTATCAGAAACTTTGATTTAGAATATAAGCTTTTAAATACCATAGTAAATGTCTATTGGTATTGCAAGTTGTAACAACCATTAAAACTACCACTTGTTTTTCGCCGGGCAAATGGGTTGGGCATTTCCTGTTTTGCGGCAGTGAGGGGTCATAACGCAGTCCATGAACTTGCACTGAACAGTTCTAACTAAGGCATTTGTCACTGTCCATATATGGGCATTTGAATTTTTATTCCGATATGAAATAGGTGCAAGATGTAACTGAACTTTTTCTTCTTAGGGAAGAATTGTCGGTGATAGTCTACATATAATAAATTATATACTCTTAACATGATGTTGATCTAGACATAATGAAGGGGGACAGGATGTATAAAAACATACTGCTCTGGCAAGATGTGGAATCATGTTACTAAAACGCTAGCAACAAATTCTTTTCAAACAAACTAAGAAATATGTAAGTTCGACGGGAAGAATTTAAATATTCATGTTAACCATTATGTTTTCAAGCGGTAATATACCTGTAATTTCTTGGTACTTAATTGACCTGTGTAGATGGGTCCTTAGAATCGGATAATAATACAATTGAAACAACAGATTAAAATGGAAAAGATACCCATTTCAGCTATATATGTAAAAGAAAACAGTTATTAAATTCAGTTGTGTCTTGGCATGTAGATATATTTACTAGAAATTGAATTTGTGGTTATAGCAGAAGCAATCATCAGGGTTTATTTTGTAACTTTAATTTAACATTATAAATCACAAGTCAACATTAAGTAATGTTTTTGATGTTAACACCACATACAGGAGAGTGACTCTCACAGGTTTGTATGTTGTAAATACTAGTGACATACTAAGATTATTTTCTTAAATTTTGTTTGAATCATAGCATTGCACCTCATTTTGGAGCTTCTGGCCATAGTATAGCACAAGCAGATGTTAATCCCTAAAAATAAGGAGAGATTTTTAACATACCTGTACCTGTAGACTTCATGGACTACGTAGCTATGACTCACCCAAGCGGAACAGTATATGGGACACTAGACTACAGGATGTTATGTCTGCGAGTATTTTAAATTGTTAGATGAGTTTTTGAATAATAACATAGAATTAAAAGAAATTCACAGGACTGTCTCATTAACGAAAGAAATTTTACCTTTATAAAACTTTGGTTTTGATGTATTTTTTTTAATGTTTTCACTTTATTAAATTGTGTTGGGCCATCATACACATGTAGTAAAACCACGAAAGTGGAAAACTTTATGTGAACCTGAAAGCTAGCTACAAGTGGGAAAGCACCATTCAATGTAACATGTGCATACTTCATGATCTTTAAATTCCTTGAGTTATTAACATTTTTCATTCAAAGGTATATTCGTGGCATATGCAAGTATAAAATTCAGTAGTGTGTGAAGTGAACAGTTCAAGCTGTAGGTTTATTTTAGGTGACTAACTCACTATGACATATACAAATTAAGAACAGCACCATCATGTTATACAACATACAGTAATTGAAATGGAATGAGATCTTTTGCCAGATATCAGGAAACCTGTCTAATTGTGCTATGTTTACAAGAAACCCAAACCTGGTATTTGCCCCAGGATAAGCTTGTATTCAGGCCCTTGAACACATTTGTGCTAAACATGTGGTAATAATGATTGCATCTTATGTTTGGTCTGGGGGCACACTCCAACAAGTCATCTGGTATTTACAAAAACTGTCATTGACCTTGAGTCAGAATGTAACTACATAACTGGCATTTGTGAAGATGATATATTGTTATTTACTACTCTGTAACCTGGCCTTAATTTAATAGGTAGCTGATAAAGTACTAAATTCCATTGTTTTATTAGTGTTGTCTTCATTCCTAAGCCTAGAGGCACATCCTTGTAGTCATATGGATATAAATGCATTGTTACAGTAATTACAGATATGATTGACCTTGTCAGTTCATGTAACAGTTTAATACCAAGACTGGTCATCATTTGAGTGAAACAAAATGGAAAAAATGGGTTATAATGAAAAGCTTGGATTTATTTGATTTAAAAAAACACTCGTCATTATAATTTTTCGATCTTGTTGAACATCTGCAGTATAAAGAATAGATTATATGATTCACAATTTGTGTGGTTTATTACTGCAAGTCATATCTGTCAGGTGGAAGGCTGGATGGAATATTTGTTTCTTTCGATGATAAACAGACCCCAGCTTGTTTCTGCAAACTATCAGTTGATGATATATACACACCAAGACTTTTAAAATTTTCCTTGTCTTGAATGACTAATCAGACCCAAAACAAAGAAACTCTTTAGTTCATACTGTATACAGGGTGGGGTTACTGGTTTGTGTATAATTGTATCATACTGCAAGTTTAGAGACACGACTCTGGTAAAATCTTTTCAAGCGTGACTTTCAAATCAGCTCAATAGGAATTTCTAAGTGATCTCAGTGCTATTTTTGACATGGGTTTTAGGATCATAGATCTACATTTTAGAAAACATTGTAATCTCAGACATTTTGGTATTGAATGCTTATGCTAATTAATTGGTTATTTTAATATCCATTTGCTGTAAATGTATTCCTTGTAGTTATATGTGAATATTCCTTAGTCATTTATTTATATTCCTTAATTTTGTTGATAGCCATTCAAATTAATTTTATTGATTGTTTTGTCTCTCCTGTGACTCAAAGTAATTCAGCTATTAAGAAAAAAACTATTTTTATTGGACATGTATTGCTTTTGCCACTGAAAAACTTCATACTGTTCTGTTGGTAGAAAGTGATTACTCTCTGTCTTTGCCCTGTGGAAAGTTGATGATAAGCTTAAATCACAATTTCCTGTTAACATTTTCCCACTTGTGTTTAATAAAACCCTGTTCCGGTGTTTAAGTATACATGTGTTTGTGTGTGCAGTAGTATAAATGTGTATGGGTCTTTGTTCCCTATCAGACTCTACTTCACAACCTCCATGAAATGTTATCACTGAAAGCTGAGAGAGAAAGTGCCTGGGTCAGATGTGTGGGATAAGTTGTTATTATAATGATATCAGTTTAGCTTAAGACAGGTAAATTTCTAGTCTGCTGATAGTAACCATTTATTAGCCCTACAGGTCGGTTACACAGGTGAGCCAATCAACCAGTATCATAAAGCGTACACACAAAGTTTCCCTAAACTTGCTCAAAAAGGATAGTTATTTAAAGAATATAAGAGAAAAAGAAATAAACCGTTCTGATTTTCTTTTAGGATCAACATCTGTTGCAGAGCAAGATTTAGTGGTATACCACAGTCTCATAATGGAGAGAAAAGGATTGATTTGTAGAAGGTCAAGGTCATTACTGAAGTTGAGAGACTAGAATGCAATCTACATATATAATCTTAATCAGAAATGAAATGTGTATCAGCTCTAGATGTTATTGTATTTCTAGACATAGTTATGTAGATGAGAGAACTTAGGAATTTACACTATGTATTCCATTATGTATACAGGTATATAGTGGTTTGATAATTAAATGTATAAAAAAATCTGATGCTTGTGTCAGAAATACCAATGTAAGTGAGATACTGATGTGAATGTTTTCACTTTGTAGCTAGAAAGCGATGTTGCTGGACTCCAGAGAAGGCTCCAACTGCTGGAAGATGATCATGAAAGATCTGAAGAGAAGCTTACTTCAACCACAGAGAAATTGGAAGAGGCATCCAAAGCTGCAGATGAGAGTGAGAGGTATTGTCGCCACAAACACATTACAAAATTTTATTCTGAATACTTCTATAAATTCTTCTATGTGTTCAATTTTATATAGCTTCACACTTGAAAAAAGTCTGTAAGCAATTTCCTTATGTGATAATAATTACTATAGAATTGTTCAGTAATGGTTGGTTTTGGCACTTGAAAAAGTTAAATATTTATTGAACAAATTTAGAGATTAAAACTTGTGCTGCACAATGTATATCTTATTTTAAAAGATGACATTTCTACTATACCCAGTTATATTGATCTGATTTGGTATGCTTGATCAGAGGAATGCTATATAGAAGGTGGAAGGGACATTAGTGGAGGTACTACTGTGTTTCTGATAAAGTTCCGTGTTCCTCTGATAAAGCAGGTGTATTTTATCTTAACGCATTTCATGTTTACAGAGTCTCAATTATTATGTAATTCATGCATGTCTTAATATAGCAGAAACAGCAGGTGCTTTTCAAACTCTGCCTTTAAAGTCAGCACTAAAGAATGAAATAAAAGACTGGTGGGTTTTAATGTGCATGTGAGCTCTTGACTGTAACTCAGACTTTATTTTACAATGGTTGGATTTGATTGAGGGTTTAAGCAATTAGAATTGGTGAATAGGAAATCTTCATTCTTTGAGATTGAAAATTTTTATCAAGTATTGTGAAGTAAATGTGTAGGAGTATATTTTATGAGATGAGGTGGGGTGTCAGAGTGCTGTTGTAGATTTGTAGTGACACTACTACTTTTAACAATGTCGTATTAGATAAGCACCTGCTGTTTGGTATTTCACAAATACTTCTGTCTTTGTATGTTTTATTTTTAGTTCATGTCATGTAAACAAAACGTTTTTGAATGATCATAATTGATAATGAAATGATCAATTTGTGATGGATATCTGTAAACTACTCAAAACTTTCTTCTAGATCAACATGGATATTGGATAATTATGATAATGACATGTTTAATTGATAACATGCAGGGATCTGACAAAGTATTAGTACCATGTTTAAGGTAAAAACACCCTGTATCCACAGTATGAAATTTAAGCAATTTATGCAGATATCTACCACATGTAAAAAACTTGGTAAGGTTTGATGAATATAGTGTGCTATCTCAACAAAGGATTGTGAGTTGTCTCTCATTTTAACAAGAACGTCTTGAATGGGAAGATTTACTTGGGTTTTGAGAACATGCAAAAACTTTGTTGAGGTTGTTCACTGTGAAAAGCATGCGTGTGATTAGGTACAAATATTGGATTTCTCTAAAGCCATATTGGATGGTGAAGGTAGGTACTTGGATGCAGGTAATTTTGATATACTCCATCTATATTGAAGAATTTGAGCATTCTTGACAAGTGATGAACATGTACTATATAAAGACCACAGTTTACTAATGGTAACAGGCTATTTCTGATTAGACCATAGAAATATTAAATTTCGTGACACGAGGAAGAGCAGTGAAAAGTAGGGGCAAAAAATTACTAGTATAAGATGATATCTAAACAAAAAAGTCACACATTTGTGCATCTAATTTGGTTGATTTTAATGTAAATAAAGGATATCCAACACCATTTCCATAATAGAAAAAAGACTTGTCCTATACATCTGGACACTACAACCTGCTTTTGGCTATTTAATGCATGCTTCTCGGCTAAAACATATATCATGCAAACTGAATATTTTTACAATAGACTGATTTACATCGGGTTCTGGTTTCTAAAAAACAACACTTGTACTGAAAGCAATAGGTCTTTACCCTTGCACTTATTAAACTGTAATTCTGCTTTGTTACACATATATATTTATTTTACTATTATGAATCTTTACATGTGCAACTATGACATTAAATCATCTAGTTTATAGTATCAACTTAATACAGGTTTTATGCAAGATAAAAAACTTACTTAATTTGTTTAAAAACTACCAAAACTTTAAAAGAAATGATAATTTAAGGCATAATAATGATAAAGTATATCTTATATATCATTTAGGCATGAAATAAAAGAGTAACTAATTCCATATACATAATCTGCAATGGTACACACCATATATTGTTGACAATACTCTGCTCATGGTGCCAGGGAATCCCGTACACTGCAAGATGTTTTACGCAGATACGAAGAAAAAATTGAGATGCTTGAACTCAAAATTAAGTGGTTGGCTGATCTGTCAGACTCCCATGAAAAGGAAAGAGATGATGTAAGTGTATGAGATAACACAAACAGGTTATTTTATGTATCCAAACATGTACTGTATAGGTTTCACCAAAGCTGGACTGGGGAACTCTGGACATGGATACAGGTAATGCAATGAGAGTGTCTGCATGTTTGTTAATTTTTTACAGATCCCGACGTGTGTTAGAGAACAAAGCATTCCTTGATGACGATAGGATAGAAGCTCTAGAAAAAGCTCTAAAAGAACGAGATGCCTCGGCCAATGAGGCTGAACGGAAGTATGAGGAGGTAGGCAAACAAGTCGGGCTAGTTTTTGCTTCAGTGGATCGTAGTCTCCTAGTCGTCACATATTGTACAGCTATCCTCTGTTCTTTACCTTTTTTTCTTCAGCTTATATTCTTATCATCTTGTTTCATTCAATATAAGATTCTTTCAAAACATTTACTACTAAAAGTTAATCTGGTTTTCAGTTTATTTCAGAGCCTTGGATTCTAATGAATATTTTTTCTATCACTTTTCAGGTGTTGAATACTAATTCAAATTTTATTTACAGAAAATTTCCAAGCTTTGTGTTTTGTTAACTATCCTTGTATTTACTTCATGTCAATATTTCCCCAACCCGGTTGTTCCCCTTCCCTGTGGAAAGGATGCAAGTATGTCACCAACTTTTGGTTACTTGGTATATTCTTTGGGTGAAGGGACGATCACGGGTGGGTACAAAGTTGTCAGGAAATCCAGCAAAATAAGAAAGGTACATATTATGTGTACTCATTTTCTGAAATTCTTTTTGAATAACAACAGAGGTCGCAAGGTGCTTGAAAGCAGGAGCCTTGCGGATGATGAAAGGATAGACGCACTAGAGGCACAACTAAAAGAAGCCAAGTATATTGCGGAGGACGCAGATCGTAAATACGATGAGGTGACTGATATCCTCAAGCATACAGTGTTTTAGTATCGATCAATGACATACTAGCATGTTCTTAGTCATAGGCATGGTTTTCACAGATATCAGCTCGGAAATCAAAATCTTTGAATTATGAAAATTTAAGAAAACTTTGTTTAGTTTGTAATGAATGGGTTTGTGAGCAGTTGTAATTTCAGAACAAGGGTTTCATTCTTGGATTCAAGATATTTGAAGATTTTGAGCTGTTGTATCTATTTGTAGACCATGCCTATTGTTTCAGAGCAGTACATAGCATTATAATGAACACATTACTAACATATCCCAACAGCCCTGTTCAGTTGCAGCTCAAGCTTTCGCCGATCTGTTGTTGGCTACTCGTTTGGTGGCTTCTGTGTAAGTCAGATAGGAACTATCATGTCTTACTAATATTCATTGCCCCTAGAAATCGCAAGGCACTTGAAGGCAAGAATAACACTAATGAGGAGAGGATTGATGAGCTAGAAAAACAGTTGGAAACTGCTAAAAACGTTGCACAGGATGCTGACACTAAATTTGATGAGGTGACGACTTCTTGCTTGCTGACATATGTTTGGTTTGTCAGGCCCTTGTCTCCAGTTGTTCAGTGTTCTCATTAAAAGTCAGTTAGTGTCAATAACAGTTCGCTAATCATCAATTTTCAACTAGCTGTCTTTCCAGCATATATTAGATAGGTTAATATCATACCATGTGAAGATTCAATCATTTTCTGAAAATCCTGTTCTAAAACTTAGTGAGAACACTGAGTTGTTCCCTTGAACATAACCCTGTGAAGATGCAAGCAAAATTTGTATTAAAACCCTTTCCTGAAATATGAGTAAACCACATTTTTTGCCTAGAAACTGCCTAATTATTGATGTTACCTCATTATCTAATCATCCTTTGATTACCATTGTGTTCTTGTCGCCCAACATTGAAAGCTTTGACCCAAAATTGCCAAAAATATTCACTTCATATTAATCCATGACCAAATATAATAACATCTTTGTGATGTCAAGGCAGGCCTGATTTCAAAGTGTTATTACATATGTGTTCTAAATATTTCTCTATCATCCAGCAGCACCTGTTGTGTTCCACATTTCCAGAATTTCCTCATTCCCTCCTTCCTAAGATCTGTCCAGTTGCCAATTTTCTGGAATTACCTCATTTTTCCCTTACAAAGAAATGTCCAGTGACCCATTTTCTGGATTTTCCTCATTTTCCCTTGCAAGGATCTGTTCAGTTCCTATTTCTGCAATTTTCTCATTCTTCCCTTGCTGAGATCTATCCAGTGACTATTTTTCCAGACTTTTCTCACTCTTTCCTCACAAACTTCTGTCCAGTATCCATCTTGCATTATCTCAATGAGCATATTAGATTCCCCAAAGATACCATTCATTTTACAGATCCTGCTAACAAAATTATTTCAAGTTTCATCTCCCTACCACATTCAGTCCCCTTTGGTTACACTCTGGCCTTCTTTGTCCAATACATATGTATTGTTAAAACTTGCTGCATCTCATTGTCTTTGGGATATTAAATTTGTGTTATATCTAACCGACTGCAGACAGCCTTATTACTAATAATAAGTGATACATTTGGGCTGTCAGCCATTTGTTTCCTGTACTACTGATCAGCACATTCCCCGGATGTGGACTGACACAGCATCGTCCAACACTGTCATGATATCCGCACCTTGTTACAGAATGAACTTGCATTTGGACTTTGAATATATATGAATTATGTGTTTATTTGATGGTATTAACTTTTCTCACATGGGACATTAGCAAACAAATTGGAAACAGATGACTACAGGATCTAGTTCTGAATCAGTCTGTACAAAGAATAAAAAATCCCTCTAAATGGCCACTTATTGGATCAGTGGCCTGATGCATTACAAGTTTGATTTAAACCCAGATCTGTTTGCTTGTGTCCCTGAGATGAAGACTTGACCTATTTTTAGTTATACTGGCATGGAGAGAAAAAAAAGAACAAACATATTCCTATATCACTTGGAAGATCCTTATCAGCTAGCAAATCAAAAGCTTCACTGCTGGTGCTGTACTATAACTGTTTCCAGCCGAGTTAAAATTCAAATTTGTGTGAGCCCAATTTCATTTGGTATAAGTGATATCGTGATTATTTTCTCTACTGAAAATCAAAACTTTATACTGATAGGGTATATTTGCAAACTAAGCTTAAAAATGAAGTGTATTCTAGCACTGATTAAGTCAGTTTGGAAATGCATCCAATTTACATTACTGATCCATGCAGGTTTAACTTACAAGTTTTTTTAGTAAATTAACAATGTATCTTAATAATTATTACATTTAGTGTGGAATGTTAATTCAAGATTTTATTTAAAATAAATTTAGTTGGCGATGGGTCAGATAGTGATAAAATAATCATGAATGAAGTTCTGATGTTGTCGCAGAAATTTGATGCCACTATCTCACTAAGGAAAATGAAGGACATGTTGAATAAACATTCACACAACTAGATGTAATATGATGTTTACCCCAGTTCAATACACTGTGAACAAATCTGGTGTACATCGTTTGTCTGATCAGGTCATAAAGACAATTTCAAGGTCATATTCAAACTGGCAATATTGCCGACTTTTTATTTCAAAGCTAATGTTGCTTCATTCCGATATTTTTGTGCTGTTTTTCTGTAAACACCCATCTTTTGAAATCATTTCATTTCAAAATTTTTTTCAAAGGTCACTTGAAATTGTCCTGACTTCATAATTCCAAATATGTGTTTCTAACATTTCCACTGCATACACAACTCTTCTGATCATCACTTTATTGAAAACTGATTAAACATACCATGTTTGGATGTTACATAATCTTCACATAAATGATATTGTGTTGATGATCCTCAAAGTTTTTGTGTGTTTGCAGTGATTTTACCATGGAACAGTAAGGATTTCAACCCAAATAAAGGGGGAGAACTCTCATTGTTCTGCATGTGTTACACAAGAGACTAGGCACAGCTATCTATAATTGATTCATGTACAAAATTCTATTAATCTGTTGATTCATAAAAAAAAACTTTATTGAGTCCTTTGCTTGTCTTTAAAAATGTCATTTGATAAGCATTTCTGATATCAGTGTGATATCAGGACTGAAGTATAGATGAAATAATAGTCTCTTGTGTACATTACAACATGTCTAACTCTGGTTGTCATTTTCAAATCAACATTTAAAGAGTTTTGAATTAGGATTGAATGCATTATGACGATTTTTTCAAAAAGTTGAATTCTATTGATGATATTGTTTTGATGCATTTAGATGTTATGTATAAAAACTTTTAATTGTTTATAAAGAACTTTGTGGTGTCACTGTGATCTGGAAGCATTTCCCAACATCCAAGTGTGGGGAGTAGGTTTCTTTTCACATGTGAACAAGTTCTTTTGTGTTAGTGTTTGTAGAAACAGATCTTTGAACATTTTGAAATGGACGGGTTTTGAAACACGGGATTGATATAATGCTGATCTTTACTTCTTTATTCAAAATATATACATATTTTCTTTTATATAATTGAATATATGAATTTGAAAATAATTTGAGAATATTATTGTGAAAGGCATTACAGATAAACCACACATAGTATTTATCCTACCTCTCTCTACCCATCCAAGACAATGTTCACATATTTTATTGTTGGAATGAAATGTTTTTGCATCTTTATTAATTCACTGATGTAGCTATAGAAGGCTGTAGAAAAAATTTATCATACAATCTTCTGTAGTTTACATCAGGTATGTAAAGCTCCACAATTCTGACATCATCAAACTGATTCTCTGCCTTCTTATGACTTTCACTGAAATGGAAAGTCATACATATCCAGAGAATTGCATGAAAATGGAGCGTTTGTCCAGGGCATTTGCAGCTCTTGTCCAGCTGTAATGGCGACCAAGCATGTTGTTATTGTATGTGTAGTGACCTGCTACCTAGTGGGATTCTTTCCTGAAAATGCTTAACTTTCCTAGTCTATATAAAATTCTAAAAACTGTTTTTCAAGCATCATGGACTTTTCTCTCCATTGTGCATGATTTCCCTTTTTTCTCTTAGTATTCTTCATTTCATGGATTTTTTGCATGCATTTTTTCTTCTTTTCTGTTTTTCATATCAATTTGACTTATAAATTGAAATCTATCGTTATGATTTAATTTTTTTATTGAATGATAAATTCAATGTTCAAATGAAATTTGCATGACTTTAAAGTCCCTTTTTTTCTCTTCTTCAAAGTAATTAACTGAATCAGTTACAAGCAGTAATTTCAGATTAAATTGCCTTGCATATACTTTGTATGATGTTCTTTACTGTCATTAAAATTTCCCTGTTGGGTATTGATAAATCTTGTATCATGGCACAGTAACCCTATGTAAGGTGTGAGGTTAATAAACTGTCAATATATACATTGTCTTCCTTGCAAAAACTTTCCTTCATATAGCAAACTTCTGTCCATGTAACTCTCTCCATAAACGTATTTGCGGTTTGCTATAACAACCACTCTTGTCATTTGCCAGGCCGCCCGTAAGCTTGCTATTACAGAAGTGGACCTTGAGCGTGCCGAGACCAGATTGGAGGCTGCTGATGCGTGAGTATTCCTCTAGTTGGAATGGTGCACGCCTTGGACAAACACAGTGGACGCATGTCAGTCAAATGACATTCACCCCCATTTATTTTTGTATGATTTGTGTGTGTTTTTGTAGAACATGTTCCTTTATCTTTTTTTTATTAACACCCTTTTGTAGAGTTCCTCCAAATTGAAAATATATAAACCCATAAGAGATAAATTAGAGGATCATGTTTCGGAGCTCAGAGCATGAGTGCTTAAGTATTATACTCTCCAGAGGTTGCAAGAAAAAATTCAAAAGTAGTTTTGGTGCAATCATTTATTTCAAAAGGCAACAGCAAAATTTTGCTAAAATTTCTATGTTGGTGCTAAAAAGTTCATATGTTTGATAAAATATTTGGTTTGCTTTCTGGTAAAGTTGGTGAATATCAGGTCTCAGAATTTTGATGTTATTATGTGAAGAAGATTCACCCAAATCTTGTATATATATATCTTACTTTTTATAGTTGCAACACAAGGCAATTTTTTATCTGATATTTAACTTAGGTTTAATCATGTAGTAAGAAGTTGTCAGCAGAAAGCAATGATCAGTTAGTATATCTGGTACTTAATTTTCAAGTCTTGTCTAGAAGTAACAGCTGCAACAATTTTTATATGTTATTTAAATCAGTTTTAAGCCAGTGCTAGAAAATTTAACCAAAGGCTTTGAACAAGAAGACATATATATGTGTGCAATTAACAAGCATGCAAGAACCACTATTAGGAGTACCGACATGAAACTGGACAGGAGTATTGAGTTATCACAATTTCTGAAAAAAAGTCAGTAGATGACAAATCATTAAGTTATAAGACAAGTGTTACTCACACATGTTTAAAATTTAATCTCAAGATTTGAAATTCAACCAAAGATCTTGCATTTTAAAAGAAAAGATTTATTTCAAGCAAAGACTGAACTTATGAAAAAATAATTGAAGATTCACAGTATTGGTTGTAAACAAAACCTAGCAGTGTACTAGTGACCGATTCCAGTTGAGTGTCCTGTCTTACATGCATGGTTGATACCTGTTTTATTTTGTGTGTTTGTTGTTGGGAATCATTTCAGCAAAGTCAAAGCAAATGAGGAAGAACTCTATGAACAATCTACTCAGTTAAAAAAGCTAGAAGCAATTTGTAACAAGGTAAGACGGAGATAAATCAATTGAAAAGATAGATTGTTATCCAGCAAGTTTTCACTGAATTTCCAAAACTGAAATTGGGGATAGGGATTTTGAATTGCGGAAGTTTTGTAAGAATGATGTTGAATACAAAAAGTATTCAACTTAAAAAAATATTTGCATGTTTGGAAATCCATAAGAAACTTGTAACCGACATTGTGTCTTGTATCCTATTCAAGAAATTACAGAAATTATCATGAGAAAATAGTCACAAGGACTAATCTGGATATACCATAATTTTCAAATTTCTGAAATGGATACAAGACCTTTATAAAACACAGTGCAAATGATTTGTTCAGTATGGTAGAACAAGTACATTCTTGTGACACCTGCTGAGTATAACTAACTGACAAAGTGTTTGCCTGCAGCCTGTCAATGTTCCTGTGTCAAGATGTCCAGATCACAGATGTCTGCCTGCTGCCTGCTCAAGATCATGTGTAGACAACTAACCTGTTATTCTTAGATCATTTGCACTGAGTTTTAATTGACTACACTTACTGACCACAGGTCCTGGGCCATATAGCTCAGATCTGTGCATACAGGAGTGGTCTTTACATAGAACGAGTGAGCTCCCTTGGTCAGTCCCTGATTTAATCTGACCAGCCTGCACCTGAAACCTGTCTAACTGTGTTCTCCCAGTCCAATTTTCCATTCTTCCAAAGTGTCCGGTCTTGGTTTTGACCTTGACAATGGATAGGGTTTCGTGTACTGATTGTGGCATGATTTGTTCCATAGTGAATCATTTGAAATTTTTTTTAGTATTTAAGCATGATTTGGTTTTGTTCCATTTTTTCATTGCATTCCCAATTTTATACATTTTACTTTGTCAATTTCCCCATTTTCGGCAGCTTTACTTCACAGTTTTATTTTTTTTTCTTTTGTGTGATTTAAAAAAAATTTTTTCCTTTATTTTATTCATTTATGGTATTTTCTTCACCAAAAGAAGAGCTCTCAAAAATAAAGAAAAAAATAAAATAATTCTGGACAAATCACATTTAATATCAATAACTTTGTCATGCCATTGGAAGAACCAAAGATACCGTTACTGTCCATGTAGGACAACGTTACAAAGACACCTGATCAAAACGAAATGAGACAACTTCCAAATTCCTGTCCATTTTAATGAGGGCCAACATGCCATTCTACAGTACATAAACCCATATCTTTTGTACAATTGCAGCAAAGTACTCGAACTCGAAGAAGAGCTCACTGTTGTGGGTGCAAATATCAAAACCCTTCAGGTGCAAAACGATCAGGTAAGAAGCCCAGGTGGTGTAATCTAGCCAGGTTTAGCGAGGCAAAGCTGCCCGCCGGCGGAGGCTAAGCGGGCCTGACCTAGGGACACACTCACTAATGATATGTCGTATTCACTTTGTAAAAGTAATATGATTTTGTGTTTTCAGAAAAGTCCTTGAGTTGGAGGAGGAATTGAAAGTCGTGGGCAACAATATGAAATCATTGGAGATCTCTGAACAAGAGGTAGACAGAGTATCGTGGCAAACAACACCACTCGCATGGTGTTTCATCTGCTTGCCCTAGCATGTTGATGAGATTACACGATGTCATGACGTGTACACAATCAGTGATTCAGGAGTTTTATCCTTATTTTTTATTGTATGTTTATATATATACACACCAATCAGGAGTGCTTAGTCTGCTAACTGGTCTGTACAGCAGAAATAGCTTCCCTGCTTTTTATTGGTTGAAATTAGACAAATTTTTAGTCCAGCAGGGATATGTACACTTGAATTTTGATTGGATGGAATTAAGTTTTTCATGTACCGGCCATGTTTGTACATTGTAGATGGAGCCTTCTGCTTGTTGTGTCAGACCCGAGTAGATTAGGGAGGGCACCATGTAGTTATGTAAAGCGTCTGTGTGCATTCATTTACTATTGTATGTAGATGCATTTTGATGTAAAAGATTTCATTTGGCCTATGCAATGATCAAATTTTAAAACAAATAATTCAAAACTGCTGTAAAGATACCTTAAGATTTGAGCAGGTTGCTGAGGGGGGCCAGTCGCATGTTATATGGCTTATGTTAAATAATTGTAATGTAGAGTTTGCTTTCAAATTGAATGAAATCCAAGTACTTGATAGTTCTAGAAGTTGTACATCCCAACTGGTGGATTAGTAGATGGTTAGTCCGGATGCTCTCAACCATCTGTAGCTTTATAGTGTGAAATAGGTGCATGAACTCGACTGTTTGTGGTACTCACTATAAGCAAATCATCATTGTTGTCATTTTTCATCTTGGAAAAAAAAGAAAAGTACAAATTGAAGGAAGAACAAGAGTATATGATTGAGGGACATTTATCACCGCAGCCCTTTATTGGTATGGCTCCTCATGACCATTTTAACAATTTGTGAGTTACCTCCCCTCAGCAGCCTGGGTGGTCACACCCCCTCGGTGAGACACAACAATCAGCTTCATGTCTCATGTACAGTTTATTAGGAGAAGTATGTAAAATGGCTGATGAAACCTTTCCAGCGTCTCGTGATGAATTAGTCTCATTATCCATAGAAAATGTTAGATGGTAGAATAGGCATTGTGACTGTAAACAAGGAAAGTTTGAAAACATCCCAGCATTTTCTCTTATCATTCCTATAGGTTAAGATTTTTTAGAGACTAATTCATCATTTAAATCTTTAAATATGTATCGAGATGATTATGAAAAAATGAGAATATCTGAAATATGTGAAGTTGGCGAGACTTAGCACTAACAGGATAGTAGATTTAATTGTTCCCAGTATATATCAACTGGAATGTCACATGCAAGGAAAGAAAAATGTTTCACTCGAACCTTGTTCTTTCATGTGTTTTCCATGTGATGTGAGTGTTGTCATTCAATTTAAGCATGAAGACAAAAAAACACTCCGCTAGAATTGGCTTTTCCCATAGCTTACAAGGGTTTCTTACCTTCCTTCACTTAAACACATATCATTATGTACAAGAATCCTATCCTAGAGTTTGGTCAGCATTTCTGATCATCCATATGCTTTTTAGATAGTTATACACATGCACTTACACCATGCATTACTGTCATGTTTCTCTGTGTTAATCAAGGGGAAAGCTTGAGAGTTCTATGACCACACTGGGTAAAAATATTGACCAATCAGCAGCTTTGTAATATTTGCATTGTAGAATCCATACTGAATTGTAGATATGGATGCAAGACATCCATGGCTATAGTGATGGGATTATAGTCCGTGATTTTAGGATAACGTCATACTTGTAGCCTGTTGCTTGTGTAACTGTAGTTTAGTCATTAACCTAGTTCGATCTATATGTTAGAGGCTGCATCAAACAGAACTAACGATGCGTAATGCTTTGTCTAGAAAGAACATTGATATTTCTATTTCAAGGATAGTCATCAGGCCATTTTTGTGAATCTGATTAATATAAAATAGGATGTTTTATTGATAGATATTTTTCTCCCATATTTTCACAGTTTGCAACTTATGTGAACTTCTATTTGACTTGTCAATCATTTACACATACATACTTCATCCATGAACTAAATCTACTATCCGACTATTCCTTGAAATAGAACACAAAAGCATTTTATGTATATATTATGTATCTATATTGTAATTTTTAACTCGGTGTAAAGTTTGTGTTTAACACGGACATTTAGCCAGTAGGCTTACAAATAATCACCAGTTAAGGGAGATAAACCATTAAGTCTCGTCGGCTATCACATATTTCAGCTATAATGTTTTTGGTCGCAAAATTTTAGTACATGTATATGGAAAAAGTAGCTTGAAGGTTCATAATTTGAGGGAAATTGATATTTTTGTAAGTTTAATTTGATGCCATAACAATGCCAAAGAAAATTTGCATCATGAAAAATCATATGTACTTCATCCATGTAATTATAACATCACACAAGTGAAGTTGAAGACTGAAATTTATTTTGAGTTTTAAACGGCGTCTAAAACGGCATACTAAGATAGGAATATCTTGAATGTGAAAATTGTGTGATTTGAAGTAAAAACAGAGTTCATAACATTTGCATTGCACTGATGTAGTGAACACTTCTAGGAGATGCTTCTTTGGTATTGTTTTGTTTCGTCAATAGAAAACAGTTACATATTGCCATTTTGTTGCTTCAAATTAATGAAGAATTTTCTTTTATTTTCAGTTCAATGAATTTTTTTTTAATTTCAGATTTAAATGATAAGATTGTACCACATTTATAAGTTATACATATGTCTGTATTTACTTTCAATTCTTATCTTCTCTGTGAAACCTCTCTCACTACATTTGTTACATTTTCAATTTTTTCGGAAGACGTCTTTCTAAATATTTCATTTAATCACCTAAATACCCATAATGGGTTCTTTCCTTCTCTTCAAAAACCTACCAGTTAGAATAGTTCGGAAATTATATGTAACTTGATATCGTTCTCATACCTTGAGCTTTGTGTCTGTTCATAGGCATCACAGAGAGAGGATAGCTACGAGGAAACCATCAGAGATCTCACTAAGAACCTGAAGGATGTAAGTCTCTTTTATTCTGTAATGTTTCTCTACAGGTCTTATTTCCTAATATTATCTTTACAAAATGTTGATGCTACACGATATGATCACCTGAAAAGGAAGGGTGATTACTTGTATGTAATTTGGATCTTATACAGATCATACATAGGTTTCTATTTCAGCATATACTGCAGACAATTATAAGTGTACATTTGTATTTCTGTTCCTTTTTATATATAACGCTTAGTTTATTTGCTGAAGCTGCACAGCTCCGCTCGCTTCATGTGCACCCAGATTGCCCATAGATATTTGTTGACTCTTTATTCTAGCTTCAGTGTTTATCGTTACCTGTTCAGTACACTATAGGTTCAGACACAATATATGGGTGAACAGTGAACATATCATAGGCTCAGAAACAAGAAAGGGGGTGAACAGTGAATCTAACATAGGCTCAGAAACAAGAAAGGGGGTGAACAGTGAATCTAACATAGGCTCAGAAACAAGAAACGGGGTGAACAGTGAATCTAACATAGGCTCTGAAACAAGAAAGGGGGTGAACAATAACTTGGTAGGTGTGATGGAGATTATGGACTTGCAGGTGTTTTGTTAATATGCATTCCTCTGGAACCAGTAAATCTTTGTGTTGCCAAAATTCATTATCACAAAAATGTTTGTATTCAATGAATCAATATAGTTTTACCAGGTAAATGATTTCTTGTCCCTTCTTACATCATTAACCCATTTAAGGCATTATATTTTATCAGTTTCGAGACTAAGGTTTCCACATAACCTGGCACTAAGTGTAAATGTTTGACAGACAAGTTAATAGTATTACATCAAGGCATGAATTTTTTGTATCAATCGTGTATTAATGAGTTACATTTTGTTTATAGGCTGAAAACAGGGCCACAGAAGCCGAGAGACAAGTAGTCAAACTGCAGAAAGAGGTGGACAGACTTGAAGGTAAGTGTTGTGTTACTTCTGATGTCACAAATATTACGGCATGAATTAGTTACTGCATCTGGATGTTCACTCAAAACTAATAGAAATCAGGTAGGATATTGAAATCTGTGTACGAAATTATATTAATTTTGAGCCAAAAAAGGTAGAGTTGTCACTAGCCTTGGTGCTTTTGTTTGAATTTAAGTGTGGAAACATTTAATGACATCAATCAGAACTAGGAAACAAAATTAATGACAGATGAAAATTAGAAATCAATAACATTAGATAAATTTTAGGACATAGCATTAGGAATAGACATAACAAAGCATCAATCAGAAATGGGAATAGACATTTTATGGCATAGATTAGAATGAGGAATAGACATTTAATGGTATAAAACTATTAGGAATAGATATTTCATGGCATAGATCAGAATTGGGCATAGATATTTAATAGCATATATCAAAATTAGGAGATGTTTCATGGCATAGATCAGAATTAGGCATAGATATTTAATAGCATAGATCAGAATAAGGTAAAAACATAAAATGGCATTGAGTAGAATTAGGAATAGATATTTCATAGACACACATTAAAATGGAGACAAAAAAGTTTCATAATGTAAATATGAAATAACATTTTATAATGAAGATAAGATATTAATCAGGACTAGGAAAAGGTGTTACTGGTATATAGATTAATTAGTTTTACATCAATGCTTGGATTAGATTGTTTGTTATACTGATTATTCAGAGTGTGAACTAACCATTTTGACAGCATTTTTGTCCTGTGTGTTTAACCCTGTGTGTAACTTGCATAACTAGTCATAAAATTAATGTGCTATGATATGGATGATAAGATCAAATGGAATATGGTTCTCACATCCTTATAGTCCTTAACATTTATTTGAACAATGAATTATGAAGAAGAGAAAAGCAGAATGTGTGTTTGAAATGCGTTGTTAATGTTTGTACAGTCCCTGATACACTTAACCTAACCTATTGAATTTCCTCTAACAAACTCAACATTCAGTGAAATGAAAATAGTGTGTTGGAAACATTAACATGTGAAAAGAAAGAGAAAAAAGAAACAGAATTTGCATGGTGATATTTGTGTATGACATTATGTTTAATGATACTGCTCGACTAGTTACAAAGATAGTTTGTCAGACCAGACTATGGATACAAGACAAAATTGCATCATGGCAAATAGTGTGTCACCTTTTGAGTGTTTTTTGCATGATTGTGTTTTTTTTTCCATGCACGTGTTGCAGATCAGAAAGCAGAGAAGATTGAGGAAGCGAACGCCTTGAGGGCAGAAATAGAAAGCACCATGAATCAACTGGCCTCCATCTAGACCTCAGCCATACCTTATATAGATGACTATACAATTTTACAAGGTCTGGTAATCATGTCAACTATTCTATGGTTTACCTGCTTGGTAACTGGAGATAGCTGACAATACTACCATTTTTCTGTGCTGTAATTTTATCTTGTATAGTGTACGAATAATAAATTTTATTTTCAGTTAAGAAATGATTATGCAGTCCAAATTATCATATTTAGTTAACATCCATGCTTTAAATGAACCCCTCAAGCCAACATAGTGGTAGATGGTCTTGTAATATATTTGCCTTTCCCCTGGGAAATTGGATGCAAAATGATAATGGGGTTGCATAGGGGAACAGCAGTTAGATTCCACATAAACTTCCATTGAGGACAACAAAAATAATTATTTAAAGTTGGGATGACCTATTTCACTATTGTTATCCAATAAAGACAATTGTTACAGTTTAGATATGACAAAGAGTTGGGATTGAAAAGAAAGCACTTTAATCTCAATCTTTGTTATCCAAGGATAGATTATATACAAAACTACTACTATAAAGCTATTCAGACAGTGAAAATTTGAGATAAAACACTATGAATTCCCCTATTATCATACAATGTTATTTAAAAATGAAACTTTTATAATCCTGTGTCTAGTACACACCACAAGAAAAGCATGTCCATCAAAACATGTTTGCATGATAAGTACTGATGAAGTTTCATTCTAGGGCATGCTATAAGTTTGAATTGTTTTAACAGTCAGGTGCATGTGAAAAAACAAAACATTTTCCCATTGTCAGAAATTTTTAAAGTTACAGAATTTCTGTTTCAAATTCAAAGTTGGATTTGATACAAAATTATTATAATTGAAGATAAGTTGATTACAATCTATTTCATTTAAGATGAAATTATATTCAGAGCTCTGTTCAAATTCTAAAGCAATTTATTTGAATGTAATTCCAATTTCGAGCTGTCTATGGTATTGGTAAAATAGATTTTCTGATTTGTGGCATTTCCCATTTACAGATGAGCTGCTTGCAGAGAAGGAAAGATATAAGGCAATCAGTGACGAACTGGACCAGACCTTTGCTGAGATTGCTGGTTACTAATGTGTCAAACAAGGACATATTCCCCTCACCAAATTTAAATCATAAATTACGAGGATAGACAGACAAAGAAAAGACTGTCAAATGGAAAAAATAAATGTTACATCAGCTTTGTACAGCTATACAAATCGTCGTGCAAGAATTTGATAAAGAGAACCTGCCACAAAGGATCCAACATTTTTTCTTAATGTGTGTAATGGTACAGACAAAGAAATTCCAAATTTATGTAAATTATTATAAGAAATGCTAATCTCTATGTGACCTTGCCGCGATATTGCGACCCAGCGCGGGAGTGAGAGACTACAGAGTAAGGACGGATGGGGTCGACCGGGTCTACTTTTTAACCTCTCTACTCTTGGTGTATTTGTATGTATGTTACTTTTGTGATCGGTTTCTTTTCGAACACCTGTCAGACTTCTGCAAAGCTACTACTTCTGGGGGGTAAAATAATGTTCATTTCTATATTTATATACAGTGTATATATAATTGATACATACATGGATTCATATTTCGTTATTTTATCATGTTATGACATCGGAACACGACACAGACGATTGTGTTATCCATGCCTGGCGCATTCTGTACTTGAGGCTCGGGAAGGCAATGCTAGCGGCACATGGTTACCATTTAAGTAGTAGCTGCGCAGAGGTTTGAATCAGGAGTACAAAAACCAATCGGGGTAATATTGCGAGATATGACAGTGGTGGAAATTTGACAGCTTTAGAAATGTAGAGTCGTTTATATACGAAAAGATACAAGTTAGTTGTAGGAATGTAGAGGGACTCGCCAATAGCTTGGTTGTAATATGTACATCACATAGTCCTAGAGAGGCTGTCCACATCTGCCCTTGCATTCAAAAACGACGACCAAGAAATTCCAGCAATCATTTAATCCACCACACGATTATATTTTTTTCTATTTTTGTTTATATATAAAAAGACTTAATGGCAATATCCAGACAACGCCATTGTGATTTTTTTTAGAAGAACTAAATGCTTTAAATTTCCACGGCTTCTTGTCCTGCCCCTATTTAAATAAAGAAGGTGTATGTACTATGTCTTTGGAATGATTTATTTTGCATGTTGTTTGTGTATAGAAGAATGTGTTGTATGGACTACAAACAAAAACGTAGCTGGCTATATTATTGAAAACAAATTTATACTTTTTCCTTCACAGATTATTTACCTTATATATTATACTTTTTGATTGAGAATTGATTTTTCTCATCTTTAAAATATCCTTATTATGATACGAAATTTTTATCACTATACATATACTTGTGTAGACACAGATAAAGAGGAAACTTTTGTAGGTGTACTAATTTCGTGACATTACTCATGTTACTTTTGCCATGTGACCAAGTCTGGTTAGCTGTACAGGAGGGAAAAGTGAGAAATATATTTGTCATGTGACAACTGTAGACGGAAGACTCCTAGTGTTCCTAGACTTCTGCTTCCATTGCATTTCCCTGGATATTGCCAATTTGTTTTAATCAACAATAAACTTGTATTGCTTACACATCTGACTTCGTCTTGTTAAAATACTGTAATTTTGAACTTTTCATATGTCCAGTGCTTTAATTAGTTTATAAAAAAATTATGTAGTAGATAAAATAAAAGTGATGACATTTCTTCTGAATAATTTCCAGCATTGATTTCAATAAATTCAGTAACACAATTTTACAGCTTTATTATGTAGACATGGAAGATACTTTAGTGTATTGGATTTATCAACTTTGAGTGTTTGGGAAGGGGAAGTGATTTCTTGTTAATGGAGTCATGGGTACATAGATTAAAAGCTTCCGCTGGTAAAAGAATTATTGCCGTGTGCATGATGGGGAGAGATAAGTTAGTACAGGGACGGAATGCTAATTTCTGGATAAGTGGGAGAAATTTGTACAATGACTGAATGCTTATTTCTGGATAAGGAGGGGAGGGGAGATAAATTTGTACAAGGACGGAATGCTTATTACAGGATAAGGGGGAGATAAATTTGTACAAGGACGGAATGCTTATCACTGGATAAGGGGGAGATAAATTTGTACAAGGACAGGAATGCTTATTACAGGATAAGGGGTAGAATAATTTGTACAAGGACGGAATGCTTATCACTGGATAAGGGGGAGATTATTTTGTACAAGGATTGTTTATTAATGGATATTATAATGACATATTTTAGATACTTGAGATTGGCGTGCATTATTCTTTCCTCTTGTGATAGAATCAAGTCGGTGAATGGACAGCAAGCAACGAGGCTTGAAAAATTAGCTGGTTTATCCAGACACTATCATATTTTATTTTCATAACGTAAATAATTGTAGAGCATTTGGTATAGAAAAGGTACGTTTTTTGGGGGGTAATTAATAGAATATGCTTCAATTAAAGGGAAATAACTCGTATAACAAAGGAGGGGACACAACTCTTGAGTTATACGCAAATAATGTGAAATAATACGTGTTCGTTGATATATATCTCGATAAAAACAATGAATCTAAACAAATAGCACAGCTGGGTCGATGAAACACGCTGAACATCATCTTTACCTACAAAATATCCTTTATAACCATTCATAAAAAATGTAAAATTCAAACTTGTATTGGACAGCGCTATACACACAACATTAATTATATTCAATGGACTAGAGAAACTGCAGGGGAAAGCTGAGAGTGGAAGAAGAAGATAGAACATCTGAAGATGCCAAGGAGACTTGCAAGGCGGGGAACATGACATTGACAACACTTCGTCGCACGCGGCTTGGGGCATTGCTTCTCCCTACAACATTCTGTGTCTGCGCACTGTTTGAGTGCTCGTCGAGGCATCACTTCCTTGACTCGTTTAGAATAGAGTGTCACGATTTTCAAACGATCAGGAAAACATACTTTGCTAGCAACTTGCTTATAAATTATATTTACGTAATTATACGGGGTTTCTTTAAAGCTACAATTCATACTTTTGTTTTTTGTTTTGTTTTTGTTTTTTTTAAAGAAGGGGAAAATGAAAACCAAAGATGTCGCTTTCAAGTCAGGATACATAGGCTTTTTAATTTCATTTCATTAGATTTTCTGAATTTTGCGAGTCTTGGACAAGCTGAAAATTGAAACTTGACGAGTTCCGTAAATCCCGCATAACATGAAATCAATTATGAGGCTATTTATCATATAACTCAGGAAAGTTATATTTTGACAGGTTTTAATATTAAAATATTGCGGACAAATCCAGACATTAATTTTGTTTCGCCATTTTCAGTTGATGACGTAACGTCATTGCCCATTATTATAACATCAAAATAGATTCTGAATGGTACAAACAGGATATGGGACTAGTACACTTCACGATTGAGATTCTAACATTTATTTCGATTAATTTTGATTTTCCCCAGTTGTCTCCTAGGTTTCAAAATTTAGACTCTTAGCGTGAACGACGAGTCCTAGAAGGACGAAGCAGCTTTATGATTATAATACAAAGCAAATGCTTTACTTACTTTTACAATACAATTCGGAGAAATACCGCGTGGTTCGGTGAGGTAAGTACACTGCAGTATGAAGTAGCATGTAACACAATACAGTATATGATAATACATTTGGTAATTGTTTACCGAGTGAAAGCTAGGGCCATTTTAGTCGGGAGTGTCCTGGTGTGGCTCGTCACAACTTCACTGAACAACACACCGGAGGCCATTTGCATGCCACCTAAAGCCTTTTTTTAAGGAACTGGGACTAAACCACGTGAGCACATGTACAGATTGGACCGTTTCTATGCCTTCTGATAAACATTAACAGCCACAGGAAGCAGCGTCGAACTACGTACCTCGATTCTTCACCCGAGGTTCCACAGGACCGTATTACATGTAGTGAGTTACGCAGGAGAAGTCCGAAATGATCTAGTTCTTGTTTCGGTGACCTAAATCTATCTGAATTTTTGTCATCTTAAACTTGTAAGCGGTGGTGGTTTTGTTGACGACGTGAACTCCTATTTTTTGTTTGCAGGAGATTATGTGCCTGTTTAGAAAGTATAGGTAACCCTATTAATCAAGATAAAATACAAGATATTTTGAAATATGCCGCACTTTGTAAATCACCTGGTATCGAGAATATGTTGAACGAATTTTTTGTAAAATTTAAAGAAGTATTTATTCTGATACTTTCAAACTTATTCAATGATATTCTTGATTAAGGAGAATTTCCATCCAGTCGGTCAAAAGGTATGATTTTTCCATTAATGGGGAAAGGTGATCCTAATGACACTAATAATAATACAGGGATAAGTTATTTGTCCAAATTATTTATACGTACAATGTATTTTAAACAATAGTTATTCAAATGGTCTGAGCGGTTTAAATTGATGACTGATGCCCAATTCGGCTTTAAGCCTGCTCACGGCATCAATGACGCAATATTTGGCCGACATGGTATCGTAAAAATGTACTTGCAAAAAGACATTTAAGCTATACTGCTGTTTTGTGGATTATCGCTAGGCTTTTTGATAGTATGAACAGAAATAAATTGTTATTGAAATTGTGTCGAAGTGGAATAAGAGGAAAGTTTTTTTATAATTTGAAGTGCGTGGATGATGGTTTAAAATTATGTGAGAAACACAAGTCGTAGCTGTTTTTTACACGCACACAAGGCGTGATGCAAGATGAAGAGTTATCTCCCATTATTCGTATTGGATAAACGATCTTGGAAAATCGGTTTATTTGTTGTATGGTACACTGTTTCTAAGAGATATTTGTTGTATGGTACACTGTTTCTAAGAGATATTTGTTGTATGGTACACTGTTTCTAAGAGATATTTGTTGTATGGTACACTGTTTCTAAGAGATATTTGTTGTATGGTACACTGTTTCTAAGAGATATTTCGCGTTTTTTCTATTGATATATCTTGATGATAGTTTTTTCTCAGTGGCAGCTTCTGGTTTTACAGGAGATGTTTTTTTTTTTTTTGAAAAATGAAAAAAGAAGTTGTTGATGACTTTAATTTCCTTTGTGTGGCATTGGACTTTAACGACAGATTTACTAAAACTCAGTTTACTACTGTCAATCAAGGACGTATTTCTGAAAGTTTGTAAAAATCTAGGCTTAAATGAAATTGAATGTTTATGATGTCTGTGTTTCATCTGTACTTAATTACAGCTGTGATGTCTGGAGTTTTATCCAGGCTGATCAGATAGAAAAAGTACTAACCGACTTTTTGAAAAAAAAAATCTTGAGTGTTAAATTTTATGATATAATACGAGTTGGGTCGTTTGCCTCTGCATATTAACTGGAACTACCGAATACTTTAATATTGGTTGAAATTAATAAAGACTAATAATTGTGTATTGAAGTCACTAAAAGAAGATATGATTGAATGTAACAGAAACCGTAACCGTAAAAAAAACAAAAACAAAAACGAAAACAAAAAATTTTACAGTCGTCAACTGGTTTTGGGGATGTGTGGTTAAATCATAGAGTTGAAAACGGACGGAGAAGTATTTTTTCTTCATTTTTATCAATAACCGCCATGTCGATAATTTTGTTCAAGTGCGGAATGAGTAACTATGTTATCTGTATAAATTCGAAGACTCGTTTACTTCACAACACTATTTAACAAAATCTATTTCAGACATTTATCTTCTACTCATTTCTAAATGTCGACTATCTTCTCATCAGCAGCGATTAACAGAAGATAGATATCAAAATACGTCACAGAAATGAACTTTGTTATCTAGGCTATTATTTACAACCAAGTTTATTTTTACGTTCAATATTTAAAACCTGATGTGTATTGTTTAATTGTCATGCATATTCTGCCAATTACCTCCTGTAAAATGATTTTGTCCGGCACTGTTCAAATTGTACTCTTATGTCAGCCGTCCGCCAGTCTGCCAGTTTTGTCTATTTCATATAACAACTTAATATTTAGGATGTGTTATAAAAGCCTTATATTGTACATGTGCATTGTATTCTTATGTATTTCATAGTTTTAGTGTTGAGCTGTAAGGCTTAAAGTGAATACAATACCATACAGAACAATTACAATACAAAATGATAAAATACAGTACACAATACACAATACAATACACGATACAATACACAATACAATATAATACAATACACAATACACTATACAATATAATACAATACAATACACAATACAATACACAATACAATACAATACACAATACAATATAATACAATACAATACGCAATACAGTACACAATACACAATACATAATACAATACAATACACAATACAATACACAATACAGTACACAATACGCAATACAATACATAATACAATACAATACACAATACAGTACACAATACGCAATACAGTACACAATACAATACACAATACAATACACAATACAATACAATCCACAATACACAATACAATACGCAATACAATATAATACAATACAGTACACAATACAATACACAACACAGTACACAATACAATACAACACAATACAATACACAATACAATACACAACACAATACAAAATACAATAGAATACAGAATACAACACAAAATACAATACAATACAGAATACAATATATAATACAATACCAATACACAATACAATACACAATACAATGCAATACAATACACAATACAATATATAATATACAATACAATACACAATACAATACAATACAATACAATACCAATACAATACCAATACAATACAATACAATACAATACCAATACAATGTAATACACAATACAATACAATACAATACACAATACAGTACAATACACAATACAATACAATACACAATACAATACAATACACAATACAATACAATGTAATACACAATACAATACATAATACACAATACAATACACAATATAACACAATACAATACAATACACAATACAATACCAATACAATGCAATACAATACAATACAATACACATAACAATACAATTCATTCTATTTGGTTTATTTTGTCTAAAGTTCCTTATCACATACCATAGAACTTATGTCGCACAGACCAAACATTGACTCAAACAGCCGAACTGTCACAACGCTGTAAATCGTTATTATTCCAGTTCAATGCTACATGCTATCGTGAGAGTGGGAACGTCGGTGGAGCACGACGCTCGGCCAAGGTTCACACGTCACTCAACCGTGCCTACTAGATCAGTGCAGACGTGCTGTGTGTTGTGCTGTTTGTATACACGGCTGTACTACTGTACCATAAATATCCTGGTTGTATGGAATTGTGAACTAAAATGATAGTTACTGTGTACCGGAAACGTTAGGTATTCTAAGGCGATAAACCATGTCGGGAGTACCGTTTTCACCTCGGAGGAATTAGACACTCGTCATCATCATGCTCATCCAAGGAATCATCTCTCTCCTCATCTCCGAGATCATCTGTCTCGTTTCATGTGCCGTATCGAATGATATCTCACCAAATGGTAACGTATCAATGTTTTTCACTATAGATGTTTAACATATTTATGAAGAAATATCCGAGTGGTTGTTTTTACAGATAGAGCAGAATGGAAAACAAAAACAGATCGATATGGCAGTAGGGAAGCTTCTTAGAAGTGTTGGTCTACGCTGTATGATGGAGCCAGTAGGCATTCTGAACAATTACATGTTATATATTTATAGTAGCTAGGGAAGTACCACTATATCGATATAATGGTTCGGTCAATACACTCGACAAGTCATACAACGACTACAGTAATGTGAGTTCAGAATTTAAATCTGGTAAAAGAGATTAAAATGTATTGTAATGTTTTTAGACTTTCGTTTTAACTTCTAAATCTGGTTAAATATATGTGTTGGTGTTCATTGACTTTAAATTCGTAAAGAAGGTCGACATGACTCATGGCTGTAAATTCCGGAGCTTATCTGTCCCCTGTCCTTGTATCTACCGACTGGGAGGTTAGAAAGGCCCCGCACTGACATTGTCACCAACTGTATCTGATCGGATGGCTTACTGTGTGCTATTTAAAATGTACTTTACAGCACACGTTATAACAATACCTAGCTAAAGATTATTGAAGTGAGGGACACGAAAAATGGATTTAGGACGTGTATGTAAACAAAGCATCTGTTGATGTTCATAATTTGGACCCGAGTCGACAGTCGCCATAATCTCAATGAGATTGTTTTGTTAAATAGAGTGGATCGGTATCATTTATTTCTTCTTGTGTTCTCTTATGTTTAGTTTTCTTGGTTTAACCTCATTGTATTAATTGCTGACAATAAGCAATGGCTGTGACATCGAACTTTGGTGACGATGACATAAATGTCAGCATGACGTGTAAATCACACGCAGTTATTCCATCAGTTCTGCCTTATAACCAATATACGCAAATATAAAAAAAATATAGATATTTCTAAAGCTTGGCGTAACGTCATGTCTTCAATAAAGTGTTCTTCTGGGTTTTAGGAACATTAGCCATGTGTTTGTATTTGGTGGTAATTAAAATGGGTTTTGGTAAATATCTCGTGAGTGATAGGTATTAAATGTTCTGACATATGTTCTAGATTACTCCCTCGTCATGATTCTTACCACACTTTAGCTAGTTTGCTGTGTGTGTGTTTTATATTCAGATACAGGTTTAGTGTACGATACCCGTTTTTTTTTCTGTGTACTGATGTCCCGATAACATAGACCGGATAGTTAGATGTCTTCTCCGGAACGTCCCAGGTGTCAGAATAAGCATGTTTGGGACAATGGTCGACTATTTTAATCACCGCCTGGCACGATTCTGGGGTCAAAGATGATACGCCTATCATAATTAACCCTAGTGTTTAAAGGTCGGTCATCACGAAGATGACATTGTCCCCCTGTTCTGTTTAACATTTAAATGCACTCACAATTTCACAGTCTGTTTGATACTTTGATCGGTATCGTTTTACTCACGACATGCAACAGTAATTTTATACACGTACGATATCGCTGTTCTGTTGACAGCTTTGTGGGATATGGAGTCGTACTTATCATAAATATGTCAGTACAAGTACTTGTTTGAAATTCTTCTACAGAGACAACAACTGAGCTCAGCATAATTGTTTGTCAACATAACGGTTATTCATGGCCACACAGTAATGTGAAATGTCCATCAGAACGAACCAAGGCGTTATGGCCAATCTATTATGTGAATGGTTTGTTGCTGGGTTATCGCCCCTTGGACAGTCAGGTAATTATTGGGGACGATCTCAGGTTGCTGATGGTGACAACTTCACTTCATAACATACGGGAGGTCTATCACATGTCGTCCGACTGGATTAGGGTCAAGTGTCTCGACAAATAGTAACGGACCACCAACACAATAAGGACATACAGGACCTAACAGTTATCTTAACGGACCTCCAACACGATAAGGACATACAGGACCTAACAGTTATCTTAACGGACCACCAACACGATAAGGCCATACAGGACCATACCGTTATCTTAACGGACCACCAACACAACAAGGACATACAGGACCATACAGTTATCTTAACTGACCACCAACACGATAAGGACATACAGGACCTAACAGTTATCTTAACGGACCTCCAACACAACAAGGGCACACAGGATCTAACAGTTATCTTAACTGACCTCCAACACAACAAGGACATACAGGACCATACAGTTATCTTAACGGACCACCAACACAATAAGGACATACATGATTATACAAAAATCTTTAGGGACCCCAAAACAATGATGCCATACATTTTTATTTCGTTGGGAAAATGACCAGTTCTAACATATGCCGTAAGTGAATATTCATTCATAGAGCAGACTGTCAACGGAATGTGATATTATCAGTCGTCAATTATTCATATCCTACGAATCAGTGTTAATACAGTCACGTGATATTCTGAACACGCAATACCAGATGTCATAATATTCTTCAGTTGTAATTTGTTAATTTGGGAGTAGTATTGATTTTACATCGTGACATGTGTTCTTTGTTTGACGAAGTAGACTAACAGGTGCCGATCTCTGTAGAGTGTCTGTATGGAGTTCCCAAGGTGTTAGACCACAAAAGGTATCAACCGTCTGGTACTATTTCACTGCTGATAACGTTGTAAAAAATCGCGGGACATGATTCACTAAAGTGTCTATCTCTTATGTCATGTGTTCTACCTATTTCACTTACTGAAAGTGTGTTCTACTCTAGAATGATGCATGGTTTCTCAAAGAAGTATGTTTTCATAATATAGGATCCTATCAAGCGATCAGATGTTTATTTTTATTCCAGCAAGCTTTTGGCATTCTAGAAAGCGATCAGATGTTAATTTTTATTCCAGCAAGCTTTTTGGCATTCTAGAAAGCGATCAGATGTTTATTTTTATTCCAGCAAACTTTTGGCATTCTAGAATGAAACAATATATGACAAGATTCCTAAATCCCTCGATTATGAAACGGAAACGAATTTAAGATTCTTTTTATCACGTGATCGATTATTCGGGCACATACTATATAGAAAAAAGGATATTTCTGCATCAAGCTCAAGTCCTTTCGGATTTGATGTCTGTAGTCTCCGTTGTTACGTCACAATACAATCTATGGATATATGACGTCATTTCAGTATGCAAACCTGACGTAAAAATAATCTAGATCACACATGTTAAATACGAAAAAAGGTAAACATGTATGATTGTTCTATGCAAATGATCTAATTCTTGCACTGCACGGACCGTATGGCGCCACTCTTACAAACACGGAATTATACATATTTCAGAGAGATGTGTAAGTGTACACCTTGACAATCTAATAACAAAAAATGTGAATTTAACACAGTACGGCAACTGCTTCATACCACATCAATTCCATTTCTGTTAAAATGTGTAGGGACTTCCATTTCATTGTACAGAGTCAGAATATATACACAGGGATGTGTAATGCCCACTTTGGATAGGCCACTCTTGGTATATATTAGGGATATCTGAATAGCATGTCTGCTGAAGTCGTAAGTCTCGTTCTAGGGTATAGTAACGGGGACTGTTGTTTAGGCTGTCGATGTGGTGTCACGTTTCGTTTACAGAGCATTTATCGTCATTAACATCATTACATGGCGTGTTTTACATCTATCACAATTATCTGTCAGAACTTGGCAGGGAACACAAGTTTTTAGAGAAGATGTGACCAGCTCAGTGTTATGGTATTTGTGTAGAACCGTGGTATCGGTACTCTTAAGAGTTGCACACAGACAAGGATAATGTAGTACATGTAACTCTGAGACAAGTCAATAACTGCTATCTGGTCACTATGGCAGTACACCAAGCCTTACTCTGGTACTATTACATACTTAATTACTACTTAAGCTTCGTTTGTACTGCAACACAGAAAACGGTCAGGAATAACGGCTAGGTGAGTCAGACAGTTCTAAACAGATTCACGGGCGTACACTAAGCTTTAGTGTAATAGAAGGTTAGTCGTTTTCGGTTGGAAGCATGAACCTGCAATGGCAAAAAACGAAAAAAAAAACCGCATTACTGCCGGTTGCCACGACAAAGATCGAACCCAGGTCTACGGTGTATTATACTAAAAGGATAAAGAAACGCAGGGTGAACTTTAAACCAGAAATTAAGTATGATATCGGGCTTCATTTAAAACGAAATTTTGTATACTTACAGATAAATTAAAGCTTAAAAATTTCCAAAGTCTGTATTTTGCATCTGACAATTGGTTTAGAGGTAGTAACGATTAAATTTAATGGACCCATAGGATTTTGAAATTGAAATTGAACTAAGTCATCAATGTCTTGTATGTCCGCCGTTTGCTGTGGTCACGGCCCTTATTCTTCTGGTCATAGAGTTCATGAGAGCGTTAATCCGTCTTATGGGGATGTTGTCCCACTCTTCAATCAGAGCTCTGGTCAACTGCTCTCGAGCAGCAGGGGGTGGCTGGCGCTTTCGAACCTGTCTATCCAACTGGTCCCAAACATGCTCAATCGGGGACAAATCTGGGCTATATGGCGGTCAATCTAGTGGTTGAATGTTGTTGTTGGCCTGAAAGACTTGGCAAATCCTTGATACGTGGGGCCTAGCATTATCCTGCTGGAGGGTTAGATTATGCTGCTGTAAGAAAGGGATAACATGGGGTCGGAGGATCTCATCTCTATATTTAGCTGCTGTTAAATTGCCATCAGTAACAACCAATTGTGATTTTAACCCGTGTGAGATTCCTCCCCACACTATTACTGAACCGCCCCCAAACTTATCCCTCTCTACAACGCAAGCGTCCGTAAAACGTTCGCCACGACGTCGGTAGACACGTTGACGGCCGTCAGATCGATAAAGACAGAATCGAGACTCATCCGTGAAGAAAACTTGTTTCCACTGCCTCAGTGGAAACCGTCGTGGAGCATGTGCAGCGACCCTGACCATACGACGCTGACGTCGAGCAGGGGTAAGGTGTGGACCTACTTAGGGGCGACGTGCTCTTACACCAACTTCTCGTAATCGATTCCTTACAGTTTTTGAACTTATAGGACGCCCATGATTTTCACGAACATTAAGTGCACTCTCAACGGCAGTAAGGCGCCGATTACGCACATGAGAGACGACGATATAGCGCTCCTGACGTCGTGACGTTACGCGCGGACGTCCTGACCTAGGTCGATCGGCCAATCGCCCAGTTTCCCGAAGACGTCTTTCAAGACGTTCTATGGTGGGAACATTAACACCAAAGTGCCTAGCAACCTGATTTTGCAGCTGTCCTTGCATCAGCATCTGAATGGCCTGACCCCTCAGAACTTCTGTGAGTCGTGCCATTCTTAAAACGAATCAAATTCTCAATTAATTTTAGGGAAGCAGTTGGTCGGTATAAAGACTAACGAAGAGTGACTTGACCAACGCTGCATGAGACCAGAACAACACGGTGCACGAAATTATTGTTTTTTCCTTCCTCCACTTACCAGAGCTGCGCACTGTACCGTGACTAAATTTTCTATACATGACAAGGTGTAATATGACCTAATTACTCAATCCACAAAGTTTCACTTTATTTGGAGAACGCATTTTCAAAATATTGGAATAAATATTACCCTACGTTTCTTTATCCTTTCAGTATAATTTAGCATGCTCAGTCAGTTGAGCGACATAAATCGTATTTATATTGATTTGCTTTATCCCCTTAGTTCTTGAGATTTCCCAAATTTCAACCAGAGACTCTTAATACAACAACCTGTGGGAACAGGGAAAAACAATTCCTGCTGAGTGCCCGGACATGGATTGATCGTACTCGGGTCTCCGGTGTGATAATTAAATCCTGATCTGTCAGCTGAGTGATACATTCAACTATTTCCACGACACTGTCTTATTTTGTATTTTGATACAGAAGATGTGTCTGTATTTGTCATTAATTTGCGTTTGAGTTACAAGATGGTTTCAAATGTATTGTTGACGACACAGGCACTCGAGGCCAGGATATTATTTTCTAAACATTGAGTTTTGTTTTAGCACTCATGACTGACGTTATTTAAACGAAATATCAGCAGAATTCAAGTTTATGTGCCGGTTGACAAATCCGAGGCCCACGGTCATTAAAAATACACAAGGCAAGCAACTCCAGATTTTAAAAAATCGACCCCTCGCTTGGAAACTGGCTCAAAAAAAGTAGTCATGATAAGTTCCTTGTAAAACAATATGTATCCGTAGGTAGTGTGTATATTTACCTTTTATTTGGTGCATAACATTACAGGCAACGAGAAATTCACAATACGTACATGAGATTAACATCTCAATAACCGGAGATTTTATCGTCCATGTAATTATCTTTGACGGAAGTAACATGCCATTTCAAGGGCGGTCACTCCGACTTTTTGGGAGAGGAGTTCCGGATAGCACTATACCAGTGAACAGGTAAGAAAGGTTCCGATGTCATTACGCGCGTAACTTCAAAATAGATATTTTTATTTCTACAAATACATTTGCGGGGATGGAAAAATAATGGCTGGGCAAAGAAAGTCCACATTTGCCAACTCGGATACAATATCATGGTAAGGGATTATACAGAATGCATCAACTTTCAATCAAGCTGGCGGTAATGAGATTTTTTTTTCAAAAAAAAAAAAAAAATAAATAAAAAATAAGAAAAAAATCATGCAGATAATGAAAAAAGGGCGCAATTTATGAAAAATATCGTGGGGGAAATATATTAACTTAGAAATTGGAAATTAAATGATTTTTTCCATAGTGATTTTTGTCAAGTTATTGAGAATATTTGAAAAGAGGCGCAATTTATGAAAAATATCGTTCCTTAGATAAAGCCCTACACCGTTTGCAGCAAAAAAAATACATTGACCTTTATTCAAGGTCACTTTGGTCCAAAGTGTTGATTTTTTAAACGACTTATTCCGATTAACCAAAAGTCCAGGGAACATGATGTTTGTTAAAATGTTTCTTGGGTGAAGGGCAACAAAGTTTGAGAAAAGATATTACTTTGACATTATATTCAAGGTCATGGATAAACCCTTAAATAACATCTTCTGATAACCAAAAAGGCCTTGGGTCATGATATTTGGTCAGGAAGTCCATTGTATGGATGTTTGCCAAAACATACAGTACCTGTAGCAATACAAGCCCTTTGGGACTCTTGGTTAATAAGTAATATGTATTTCTTTTCAAATATTCTCAATAACTTGTAATATATTTCCCCCACGATATTTTTCATAAATTGCGCCCTTTTTTCATTATTTGCATGATTTTTTTCTTATTTATTTTTTTTTTTTTTTTGAAAAAAAAATTCTCATTACCGCCAGCTTGATTGAAAGTTGATGCATTCTGTATAATCCCTTACCATGATATTGTATCCGAGTTGGCAAATGTGGACTTTCTTTGCCCAGCCATTATTTTTCCATCCCCGCAAATGTATTTGTAGAAATAAAAATATCTATTTTGAAGTTACGCGCGTAATGACATCGGAACCTTTCTTACCTGTTCACTGGTATAGTGCTATCCGGAACTCCTCTCCCAAAAAGTCGGAGTGACAGCCCTTGAAATGGCATGTTACTTCCGTCAAAGATAATTACATGGACGATAAAATCTCCGGTTATTGAGATGTTAATCTCATGTACGTATTGTGAATTTCTCGTTGCCTGTAATGTTATGCACCAAATAAAAGGTAAATATACACACTACCTACGGATACATATTGTTTTACAAGGAACTTATCATAGCTACTTTTTTTGAGCCAGTTTCCAAGCGAGGGGTCGATTTTTTAAAATCTGGAGTTGCTTGCCTTGTGTATTTTTAATGACCGTGGGCCTCGGATTTGTCAACCGGCACATAAACTTGAATTCTGCTGATATTTCGTTTAAATAACGTCAGTCATGAGTGCTAAAACAAAAATCAATGTTTAAAAAATAATATCCTGGCCTCGAGTGTCTGTGGTTTGAGAATGGCGACACATCTATAACAGGAGAGTACACGGTGAAAAGTTATCTAGGGAACAGGTCGTGAACCGGGACCTGTGAAGAGGAAGAGTGTAACATGGCTGTAACGATTTACGTGTTATCAGTAGTGTATATCAAAATGTGTGTTCAACGCTTCACGTAGTTATACGTTATAGACAATTCTATCTGGGTTACAAAACACAACTGTTACAGCATTCCATTCTACAAAATTGATTAAACCCGGGCTATTAATACCGTTCCTGATGAACCGCCAAAAGTCAAAGAGACCGACCTTTTTACTCAGCATTAAGTACTCGACATTAACAGCAACTTGTTCTCGTGCTTACACGTGATCATTAGATCAGCATGATGATACCCCTTCTGATAACTAGACAATGTTATCTAGTGTTTTAGGAAGCTAAACGATATCTATTTCAAAGTAAATAGGTAACTATTTTGCGCTCACTATTTGAATGGAAGGCCTTTGAGAACAATCCATTATTTTTCAGTGTTATCTGATGTTTTACTAGCACATCCATGATAGCAATAACCATTTTATCCCCTCCCCTCCTCCACCCCCAATCTCTTCCTCACTCTTTCGGTCGGTCTTAATTAATATCCCGCAGTTGGCTAGAACCAAATGGCTTCGTTTACATTGCGTCAGTAAATGTATTACAAAGTCAATGCGAGAGTCATTGGCGGAAATTACAAATATTAAGAAGTTAACTGTATTAACCAGGCCCCAGCTTCTCAAACTGTTTTACCAGGCATCAGCTTCTCAAATTGTATTTACCAGGCCCCAGCTTCTCCAAGTGTATTTACCAGGCCCCAGCTTCTCCAAGTGTATTTACCAGGCCCCAGCTTCTCCAAGTGTATTTACCAGGTCCCAGCTTCTCCAAGTGTATTTACCAGGTCCCAGCTTCTCCAAGTGTATTTACCATGCCCCAGCTTCTCCAAGTGTATTTACCAGGCCCCAGCTGCTCCAAGTGTATTTACCAGGTCCCAGCTTCTCCAAGTGTATTTACCAGGCCCCAGCTTCTCCAAGTGTATTTACCAGGCCCCAGCTTCTCCAAGTGTATTTACCAGGCCCCAGCTACTCCAAGTGTATTTACCAGGCCCCAGCTTCTCCAAGTGTATTTACCAGGCCCCAGCTTCTCCAAGTGTATTTACCAGGTCCCAGCTTCTCCAAGTGTATTTACCAGGCCCCAGCTTCTCCAAGTCATTTTATAGATAACTGATCAGCAGTGAAAATTATCAAACAAAATCAGAAAGTTTATCATTATACGGCTGTAGATTTGATTAGGCCAGTCAGATTTATTTCTTTTAAGAGTTCATTTTGAAAGGACTTTTTCTAGTTGTAACAAGTTGGTTTTTTCTCTAACCCCTGGTTAACGCCAGGGATACAGAAGCTTTATTCACCTCGATGTATAACATATGAACACATAGACAATAAGTAAACACTGATGTTGCTATGCTGTCTGTGTGGGTTAACATAATTATCATTTGAAATCAATGTTCTAATCTGTCCTTTTTGTATTTTAGTGCCAAAAATCAACGTCCCTGGTTATTCCTACCTCGTACCATATGGACGATCAGTGATGCTGGAATGTCATGTGACCGGAATTAAACCAATCAAGATCAAGTGGTGGACACGAGGCAAACACGTGGTAGATGGTGATACATTTCACACCTCTCTCATAACTACTAATGGAGAAAGAGATACCCTGTTGCTATGGATACATTCATTGTCTGAAAGGGAAACTGGGACGTATATATGTTGTGGATCGAACGCTTTTGGAGAAGTAAGGGACAAGATTTATGTTAACGGTAAGTGGACTAGCGTGTGATATTTCTTTATCACTAAGCTGTATGTAGATCACAGACCATGTTAACTGACAACTTGGTGACAGAATATATGTCAACTGGTATGTTTGAATATAACGCCGATGTTTTTTTAGTGTTAATCGATATCGTTGTAAGAAAGATCATGTCTGACAATGGTACTGGTCAGTAGTTTGTGGACAACTTAGCCCATCATACACCTGTGGCAATGTTCCTTGTTCAAGAGTGATCATATAAGGGGAGATGGACGAGAACTGTTATCATCTCAGAATGAAAAAAAAACAACATTATATTGTATGATTGCAGGGTACGAAGACGAGGGTGTTCCGGGCGAGGAGGAGGACGTTGAGATTGGATACTTCACATCAGAAAATAGCGCACGCAGATGTTCAGTTTCTGGAGGCTTTGTATACCTTGCAACCGTTCTCGCCACTCTCAACATAACAACGACTTCATTTTTGTCTATCTTGTCGCGTCTTTTCTCATAGTGTCATTCTGTTTACTTTTGATGTTTTGTTTATTTTCTCTTTTTATTGTTATTTTGTTATTGGTGATTTGTATAATATAAAGAAATATAAAGAACAAAATATTCTTTTGGTTTTTATTTCCACAGCAGTACCGCGTATCGACCAAACTTAAACCACAGGTGGAAAACAAGACAAATGCTGTGGAATGGACCAATCGACCGTCCCTAACCACAACACTCATTACTGAAAGTGGATATCTAAACAAGCTGTGCTACAACTGTAGTTTAACATTTTGAAACACAAAATTATCCCATGTTACTGGCATAGAGCTTCTCTCTTATAAGTGAAGTCTATATGTGAAATGTATAGTTGTAAACTATACGCTGTATACTGAAGCGCGTTTTGTGAAGTATACGTCCAAATCAAAGAAAAATATACATAAAGTTTAGCAGTAAGATATTCTAACAAATTATTGGAATACCTATGGGCACTAACTGTGTCCCTCGTTTAACTGACTTGTTATTTTATGCGAGGCGCAACTTATCGAATATCCTTTAGTTTCACTTTCAGGTATAATGATGGCGTCTTGTCTTTAAATAACAAGATAATTATTGACCACGTCCATCGAAAATACCAACCAGAATTGGAAATCAAGGCCACAACAGACCCCTCTACATCAGCTGCTTATCTCGAGCTTTTCCTACTACGAGCTTGATAAGCGTGGTGATTTCAAATTTTCTATTGTAGCAGATATTATTGTGATATTTCATTTCTAGTCTGTTAACAAAATTATATTTGTTTGGCATTTCGGAGTTCTAGCCATATTTTCCGGGTACTTTGCTGACACGGAACCTCAGATCTTACTTTTGGACCGGTTAAATCCGTCTTATTACAGCCTCGCACAATCACTGCATCCCCAGCCTATGGTTTTTACATGTGACAGTTGATTCGATAATGTTTCAATTTCTACTCAAGTTAGACTCATTGAAGCTTTCAAATTTAGCCTGTTTCATTTGTTGATGAATTTGACCAGATTAAAACATGAATACATCCTTTACAGACTCTGTGAGGGGAGATAACCCTTACGAATAATCTAAATTGATAAAGGTATGTAATATATATAACAAATATTCTATAAATCAAAATATAAGATTATAGTAATTTTTAGAAGAACAGATTTGTTTTCCATGTTCTGGTAGCTGCTTGAGATCTTTCATGTATTGTCGCCTGCAACAAATGTTTTTAACCTTCCACTGCCTGAGAATCTCCAACAAGACCACGGGGTCTACTGACCGATTTTGATACTGAATTGCTTACTTTACTAAGTTCTTGTTGAAATGGATGCTTAGGCTGCTGAGAAATGCCACAAAGCACACTCCGTAAACAATTTAAAGATGGCTGCCGCCGAGTTCGAAGCGAAATGGGAGACGACCGCAGAACCCAGTGTAAATGTTACTCTATCATACCCGGTTAAAAAATATGACGTAGACAGAGCATCTGCAAAGATTAAAACTACCAACCTTAAAACACATTTTCAAGATTAGAATATTTAAGAATATTTATGATCCTAGAGTGACTGAAAGCATGTTTCAGTCACTCGGGGATCATAAGTGTTCATTACAATCTTAAAAACAGTAATTTGAGTCCATTTTTCTAAGAATTGAAACCAAACTGCCTGTAGCTGAGCAATTGATTTTTGTCCTTGCGGTTAACAATTTCTTTTATATTTTCCAATTTTTCATTATAACATATTTATTTGTGATTTTTAGCACATTCTTTCGCAATTACATTATCATTCATGTTACAGAGGATCTGACACCGACAATACAAAAAACAAAGACGGACGGACAAAAACACACAATGCACTCAAACGGACAAACGGATACACAGACGAAGGGATGTATGAACGGATGCATGTAAAGTCGTTTATGTAAAAAGAAAACTAAACGGAATAAAAAGGAAAAAAACTATACAAAATGGTGCCATGATAAACAAGTTCTAATTGTAACGGAAACCGTTGCATACGTAACCCAAACTATCGCAAACTAATGCTAATTGAAGTAGGAAATGATTCTACTCAACAGCTAAGCCTATTTACACTAGAGCAAGATATCAGACCCCTGGTGTGCATACTCTTGACCACAACAGCAGTCATGCATACTCAGGTAAACCAGTGGCCAATCAGTAAACTCTAGCAGACGACACTGAAAACAGATAGCTGATAAATCTATAAAGCGGTTAGAGTTAGCAGAGCCTTGACACGCACCATTAGCAATATCAACATTTCAAAGTTTAGACATTTTTGACGGCCATGTATGCTATTCAATACAAAATCTATATATCAGTATATGATAATAGACCACATCTATGTATTGATTAAACATTTAAATTTCGGCGGCAGCCATCTTGGATTTTGGAAAAATAATGTCTCAAAGAAATCTTGATATGGTCATCAATATTCAATCTGACCAACGGTTTTTAGAGTTATAGTCTGTTTCACATTAACTAATCAGAGACTACGGCCGTCATATTTGATGTCCGATTACTAAAAAAGAAAAGCCGAAAGCACCACTCAGCACAGCCATCAACGCTCATGCATAGTTTCGATTGAAATCGGTTTTCACGAAATGTGCCGGACAAAGCGCGGCGGAAGAATGAAAATAATATGTGTATAACAGTACATTTTTTTTATGTTAATGGCCTTTTCGAATACACAACAAAGGATTCGATGTATTCGATGATCTAACCACACAAGAACATTGTATAAGGTTTATTTGCTGAAATTTATTTGCAATTTGAATAAAGTTAATTTTGCAAAGCTCTTTAACGACTCGGAAGCTTTTAACGAAATCCATGGGTTACTTTTCCCTTAAGTAGCAAGCTACTACCGAATTATGTAAATGTTATTTGCTTATGTACAGCGGAGCAGACAGTCGATAAATTTACGATAATGTAGCTGAATAGTTTTAACAACGAACTTGGTTTTGACTGAGATTTCGAAGCTCAGCCGGTGCGCTTTTAATTTATTCATTTATTTTAACGTTTCATTTGTATTTACTTATTTTCCCTCGGGTAACATATTTTTACTGTGAAACTGGTACATACCAAAATCATTTCCTGTACCAAAATCGTTTCCAAGGTTTTTTTTTGCTTGTCCACGACCGCTATATCGTGTCAACGAACCCTTTGGCCAATAATAGAATACTTAACCGAAAAAAGATATCTTAGACACATCTGCATCTTGAATACATTTATATGTAAATACGTATTGGTGGTTAGCTTGTAATGATAATAATAATATGAACGGAGTAAAAACAATAAGTCCTTAACTTAGTTTGGGGGACTTAATGACTATGTGTACTTATATTTTTGTTGCATGGCATGTTCATATACACAGGAATAATCATAAAGCATTCATAGGAACATGGACACATATTAGTATACAGGCAGCACTTGGAATCTTTTACTTTCTGTGTCGTATTTTCCACTCTTGGTGTTCCTAATGACACACGTCCTCATATGAATCCCAGTTAAAGAATTAAGAAAATCTGATGGAAAGTAAATGTAACCTGATTAAATGTCTTAAACATATTGTTTATTGTCGGATAATTGTTTATCTTACTCTCATTATTATAGCTTTGGTATAATGTAAAATCATATATTTTCGTTTGGCTCAATTTTCGTGATTTTTCAAAAATCACTTTTTCGAGAAAATTTGATTTCGTGGATAAATGTAGCTCAAAAATGACACATGAATTCGTGGATTAAAAGAGCCCGCGAAGTCAACAGAAATTTTTTAAGGATATTGAATACCGCTTCAATTCTGTAACGTAATCGGAAGATGGTATAAAAAGTGTGTACTATCATTTAATAATTCAGTAGAACCAAACAATAAATTTAACTAAATCGTACAGCTGTTTCGTCCTTCTAGGGCTCGTCAGTGGTGATACATCATACAGCTGTTTCGTCCTTCTAGGGCTCGTCAGTGATGTCAAGGGCCTAAATATTAAGCTTACGTGTCTGTGAAGGAAAATCCAAAGTGATCTAAAGGAGAGTTAATAAAATGACGGGGAGGTACAGCAACACAATGATTAATTAAAGTTAGTAATTTTCATATATCAGATTATTTTAGAAAAACGCATTTGTGTATTTTCTGAACCACTTCATGAGTTAGTATGTAAATAGAGGTAAAATGAAAAAGGAACCTGAAGCATGTGTTTTGACATTGCTGGAATGGCACACACGTAAACACTAAACGAGCTCATTTATGTTGATAGCCTTTATACGATTTAGAGCTTAGGTAACATTAGAATAAAGTCATGCCATGTTCTCATCGCTAGGGAAACCACTTTTGTCTGGTGTAACGATTGATAACCAAATGAACCTTGTGTTATTTCTAAATGTCATTCATAAATTGGACGTCGCAGGCTAATCGTCCAGAAAGTGACAGCATTTACTTAAAATTTCACATACCTCTTCTGCTTCATTGACAAATCTGTCATGTATATCTTGGTCAGTCAAAGTAAACAGTATCAGCTTCTCGAATGATAACAACTGGCAAGCTAACGAGTATCAAATGCGTCCAGCTTCATATCTCACAAAGCTTTAGAACATACCCCAATAAAACACTTTGATGACTGTACAACTTACCCATAACTTTCACAAACAGGTATCTTGTCTTACTACTTCTTGAGTAAAAAGTGATACTGGGAACAGGTCTTCGGATATCGAATCAAACACGATTTGTAAACACCATAGGTTGGGAATACGGGTTTGTTGCTATCCTGAAATGGAAAAAAAATCGCAATATTGAAATTGAAATCATCACGATTATCATTAAGCTTGGTGGAAAGCTGTTAATGTTGTTGACAATCGTTGTAGAAAAAAAATCAGGGTAAGCAGCTGACGGAGAAGACAATGTCTTGTTTTGCTTTCCTATTCTGGTGGGTATATACTATTGACGTGGTCAATAAATCTCTTGTTATTTAAATAATTCTGAAAGTGAAATGAAACGACTTTGTAAGGTCTTTTTGACCTGTTTTGGTTAGCTCTTTTATAAGTTGAGCTTCGTGTGAAAACAAAAGTAAGCCGGCCAACAGTGGAGCACAGTTTCCATAAGTATACGAATCGTCAACATGAAACTAAATCAGGTGTATGATTTTGTTCTCAAAATATTTCTTCTTTGATTTGGACATATCTTTCATGACATACTCTTGAGTATTTTGTTTTGACATTACTGGAATGGCACACACATAGAAACTAAACGAGATCAGTTATTTTGATAGCCTTTAAACGATTTACAGCTTGGGTGATATTAGAATAAAGTCACAAATCATGTAATCTTCCTCTCGTTAGGGAAATTAAACCACTTCCGTCTGGTGTAACGATTGATAACCTAATGAACTTTGTGCGATTTTTAAATGTCATTCATAAATTGGAGGTCGCAGACTATGGCAGGAGTTAGAAATATTGCAAGGTCAAGCGATCGGAAATCCTGTCATATTACATGATACATTAAGCGATCAACTATAAATTGAATGGCAATAACAAGAAGATTTCAGAAGACTGAATCACTGGTCGTTCACTGCAGAAGAGCAAAAGGTACACAGTTGATCGCCCGTCACTATGGTTGTTCACGCAAGACTACACGGTATGATTAGTTGGCTACATTAATGGTTTCCTGAATTTTGATCGTGATAACTTAAATATGGTATTGGAAAGTTATTTGATCATTCGACAGACTCAACGATAACAACTGCATTTTCAACAACGTGTTTCTTGTTTAATTTCATAGTCGGGAACTGCATTTTAAACTTGTTTTATTGTTAAATTTCACAGCTGGAATCTTCTTCACGATAGCGGCAGTGTCCTTTGTGACCGGTTTTTCACAAAATCCTTTCTGGTCTGGTTTCCTTTACCGCAGGCAACTTGTTGAAGACCCCAATTGTTCAACGATTAATCACGTAGCTAATACGTATAGAAGCGGTATTAGAGTGTTTCTGAATGAAGAGGGTAACAAACTCTTTCGATCGACGAATACATTGATAACTCGGGAAAGATTGCATTTGTCCTCTGAAAATTTGTGCCGGTAAGTAATTACTATATGTATAAGCGATAAGAAACGATGGTTTTATTCTTATGATTCTTATCTCAGCAAGAAGATTTTGTAATATCTCTTCCAGAAAATGACATCATTGTTGAAAATTGATTATGTTTCTATAATCTAGTTTCCCCAAATTTTCACAGCCCGTCCAGAACACCACCTGGCCCTTCTTAAATTGTTTATAGTATACACTTTCATTACAATTGCAAGCAAATCGGAGGATATTTAGGTTTCGACGAATCAGAGGTCGGAAAATGGCGGAATGACGGCCATTTTGTTGAAATGTGAAACTGAGGCTACAAAAGTGACCGATGTCTGATAATAAGGTGCACAACAAGACACTATACTGATTATGCATGCAGTTTGATGGGAATCCATTGGGTAGATTATGAGATTAGTTGCTGATAAAATAATTACAGAAGTGTTATATTGTAATACTATCTTCTATGTTAGTGACCTAAGCGACGATACAACAGTAAATTTGAATACATATTGTAAAAGTAAAAGGGGCAAAAATATTTATGTACTATTGAAAGAGTTCAAGAATATTTTCCAAGCAGCCAAATCGGCACTAGATTCTTTGTTAAGCCTGAGATTGTGATGCGGTTTTGTCAGGCCACAAGCGAGATCAATCAATCCTCGCAGAAAGGGGCGACCTGGAAAAAGTAACCGACAAGCAAAAGTAAGCAAACTAATTTAAGACCAGAAGTTCTTCAAGTGTGACCTTACGACTCTGAGAGAAGGAATTCAGACTCTCAATCATTTTCAGTTACCTACCTAATGGAAGCCGTGCTACCATGGCCACACTGTCTGACTCAATGCCAAGAAAGGTTAAACAGGTTGTGGGAAATTCTGTTTTGCTTTGTTTTATAAGAATAGATGTATTCGAACAAATGACATAAAATTTGTTACATCTGTGTAACATTGCAATGCATTAGGTGGTCCTGTGAAAAGGAAATCATCTAAAACATTAACTACTCCTGCTGCTTTAAACTTATGATGTAAAATCCAATGAATGGCAGAGCTAAAAGCCTCAGGCAAATGACATGAAATTGAACAGCCCATGGGGGTAAGACACGGTCAAAATAATACTGATCATCTGAAAGAATTTGGATCATCCGAAACGCAGAATCAATGTCTGTCTCTGCTAACAATGAACCTTTACCATACTTCTTAATAGGTTGTATTGCATCTCCAACAGACTGATAGACTACTGAAGAGTTCTCGGCTGAAATACCATCGTTATTTCAAAAACATTCAGCGAAAGACAGATCATGTATAACCCTATACTCATTGGTTTCTTTCTTTGAAACTAAGACTAATTGAAACACTTAATATCAGAATAGGGTAGTAAAGAATAAGGACCCATACATCGACCTTTGTCTATTTCTTTTTGTATCTTATTTTTTACAAACGGCATGTTCTCTATAGCTGTTTTAAGGTTGGTCGTTAAGTGGAAATATCTTAGCCCTTTGTACTGTAGATAAACACCTTGCTTGAAACCCTCTAGCAAAAGCAAAACTTCTGAGTGATGAGTAGAAAAAAAAACAATGTCCAATGTAATCGGCTTGGACAATGAACTTTTTGGGGGAGGACTCCGTTGTTGTTTGTCAGGCGTCTGAAGAAGATTGGGTGGGTAGTTGGATTGTTGGTGTCCAGAACCAATGATTTGTTGGTTGTCGGTTCTAGAGGCAGTGTTTCACACACACCACACCCATTACAAAAATCAGGCCTATAGCAGTTGCTTCCATGTATATTTCTGAGTGTGGTATATGCAATTTAAGCTGTGGGGCATATTTGATACCACATTCTAAAATTTACATGATAATTCATTGCAACAGCCAATCCCGACCTCCGTTTGAGCGTTGAATAATACCTGCGTATTTTATCATGCTGCTTGTTGCCTGAGGATAGGCCTAAATATATATCTAAGCAAAGATGTGAAAAACCGAATGCTACTGATCAATATATTTAATGGCTGCCTTGCAATTCAATCCTCAAGGGTTCTTTTTCTTGTAGGTTTCTCTTCACTAATAAGCCAAAATCAAGGAATTTATTGGTGAAAAAAATTTGCTTTCAATTTAGCATTTACAAATATATCTAAAGGTCGGGATATGCTGCAAATATCAACATGGTAAGTTTCACCAGCTACTCCAAGGAAAATATCGGCAAATTGTAATGGTTTTGTGGGCCGCTGATCCGCTGATCTTGCTGCGGTTACTGGGACGGTTCTCTTCTGCAGCATTGATAATATTAAAGGATCTGATGACACGGCCTTAGTTTCAAATGAAATACTGTTTGGAACTCTCGGCATAGTCTGCTCGACTGCCACAGATAGGTTAATGGTCGACTGGCTGTTTTCTGTTGTTGAATTGGTAGCCGAGTCCGGGGCCGATTTTGGACAAGTGGAGTCGGAGGCAGTTACCTTGTAGTCTGCCCCCTACATATACCTGGATAGCTCTGCTCTTGACGATTGGAGCTAGTGGAAGGTGCAGCAGCCGCTTGTGGCCTATCGGATTGACGCATCGCGTACCTATATTATTAGCTGTACCATCATCAATTTCGTCTGATATTGATAGTATGCTCGCGGGCTGTCTGCCGTCCTGATCGTCTTATCGGACCAGCTGAGTCTTGGATGCCAGTAAAGCAAATTAATGAAAGAGTGTCAGTGCCAGTTCTTTGCCTAAATTTTAAACACCTGGAGTTTCCCGGAAAAGGCAACCGAATTTGTGTATTCCCTAGTGGTACTGTAGTTGGAACATTCCCCCAGTAAATCTTAGCAATGTAAAAACCAGTATACCCTTGTAACAACAAGTAACTATTGGCGTTCCCCTATAAACAATGAATAGATGAAAGTCCGTGCATTCCCCTAGTAATTAATAAAAAATTTAAAATCAAGGCATACCTCGGGTATCAAAAGAATTTCCCCCAGTAAGAAAACCACTTAAAATCCAGGCACTCCCTTGGTGTATGTAGTTAAATATGGGCATTTCTCCAGTAAATATCCATTAAAATCCAGACTCTTACCTGGTGTTAGTACTAAACATTCACCCAGTAAATTATTAAAACATCAAAATCCAGGCATTTTCCCGGTATAATGATAAAACCTGGACATTTCCTCGGTAAATATTTATACTAAACCTTTAAGCAGGAAAATTCCCCAGTCTAAGGAATACCCCATGTAGTAAAACTTTAAGTGAATACATGTATATGTTAAATAAGCACATTATCAGTGATATGTATCAAACGCCTGAACTTAATTACAATTATGTATTTAAATAAGAACATCAAGTAAGACACAGGTCAAGATCAATATGAAATAAAATAATTAGTTAACTATGGTGAAAACACGTGAAGCATATATATGTTATATCATTATTACTTGCATGAGTACAAATGCGAGTAGCCTCCCTTGCTATAGCTTCCATGTCAATATTGAAGAAGACCTTGTTTTACTGTCAGACATTACCACAATGTGTATTTTATCGTAGTCCTGCAATGAAGAAGACGGTGGGAATAGAAATTTTAATTCCAATGTAAATGTACATGCTAGGCAAAAATATATACTTTAAACTTGTTGCGGCACCATTATAATCAAAAGTTGTTAAATTTCAGACATAGATTTTTTTTCTCAGGCAAAAGCCTGAACGAGCGTGCGCGTCCCACCAGTGGAGACTCCCGTCTGGACTCCGCTCTTCTCTTCTCGCAGACCAAGAGAGGTCTACACCGCAATATTATAGAACTTAAGTAATTTTACACAATAGATAAACAGAGTTTTTCACAAGTTTAGTATAACATGACCTTCATGCGAACTGCCTAGATAGAGCTTTGGTAATAACATTGACCACGTGTAGTACATTTAAGATATGATACCATGACAACAAGTTTCACCTTAATTTTTTTTAAATTTTTGTGGCAAATTTCATATTTTACAATTACTTCGTCCTCATAGATTTGTACATTACTAAAAGTACTATATTACTTGGGAGACAAATACATTAACTATAATTTGGTGACATAAAGAATATGAATATTGAATCGTTGACTTGACGTCAAATTTGTATATATTGAATTTTTTTTCATATATATAAATGTTGTACTATTTTAAAATTTCACAACTGACTTTCGCCTAATAGCGAACTTTCGTCAAGGCTCAGCCATTGCATTCTTTGTTTGATAAAAGAAGCAGACATATTCGAATGTTCGCTAAAATTTAATCGCTCTTTGTACAAAAGAGAAACATTTTTTTGAATATTTTATATCATACCATTTTACAGGAATCAAGCCAATGTGTGGAATGAAACACTTAGAGCTCTAAATATGTGTTCTGCAGAACGTGAATTTTTCCAAAATATGACCGTGTTGAATGGATTGTGTTGGACGAATGGTACATTCACGCCGTTGCTTAATGAATGTAAGTAGATAAGAGTAAATTTGTTTTGAGCTTGGTACTAAAATCTGAAATGTATCAATATACAACAAAATTTGTATTAACATTCACAAATATTTCCAATTTTACTATTGTTCATATTTGTTATCAACAAATAACACTTATTATAACTTACCACGAATTTGAGAGCCAAGCATATCTTTGAGTAAACAGCTTATCTATTAGAAATATAATAAAAATAATACTTTTTTTTCTAATTCTCGTGAATTAAATTTCTCAATTTGGTGTGAAGAAATTAAAACAGATTATGCAGCAAGACGCAGTGTTAAGTGATCTACAAGCAGATGTTCTTTAATAGAAAAAAACAATTTACTTGCATAAAATCTCACACGTATCCTACTCGACATTGGTTGGACCAAGAGTTGAATGGTGTCGTCGATGAAGCAGAAAGGCATGGTAACCCTCTTTTTTAGGATCAAGCTTAAAATAATACTTGCGGCTAACTCAAAAAGACAATTTGAATAACGAAATATGATCTGTCTTATTACCAGGCTGGGAGTCAGTCTATTCACGGACGTGTCAGTGATATGTTAGTTATCCACTTCAGCGGTCGGCCATATTTGTATTTTCTTTTAAATCATATATTAGTCAGTATGGTCGCTTACGTTTTGTTATTTCAAATGCCAATCTTCATTATTTTTTTCTAATAATAAACAACGTGGTGACAGTTTGGTTTGTTCTAGGAAACAACATTCTTACAATCTTGTCTTTTCTTACCTTGAGGGTGTTTATTTCCCCTCTGTCATTTCGCAAAACACAACCCAAACACCGTCGCAGTAATAGCGTTAGTCTTGCCAAAATTGCGGGCAAAGCAAGGGCACTAATATGTTCATGTTGTTTAGTCTATAATATGCACGTGTACAAGATAAAAAAGAATATTATAAAAAAAGAGTAATTTTGAGGAAAGAATGTTAAGCGGTCAAAATCATCTTGTTAAGAAAATGATTAACAAGTAAGAATATAAATATATAAGAAGTGTCATTGGTTAACATGTATTCTAACATAACGGTGATATAAAACAGAAACATATGGTATATCTATGAATCATCAAGTTTTGGTCATGATTCCTGAAAAAAAGACGACAGAATAAGAACAGGTGTTCCGAAAAATCAACGTCTTCAACTACCCCCGCCATGCAAATCATAGTCAATCCGAGTAAGTGATGTCACGTTCTCAAAAGAGCAGAAGGTTCACAACAATGGAACCAACAGGTAAACTAACGAACATTAAACACGTCCAACTTCATATCGCACAAAGAAACAAAATATTTCTCAACGAGGTCACTATGACCACCGAAAAAAAACATCACAAACCAGCATCTTTTGAGTTTGTCCGTAAGTTGACGACTTCGACTTCTTGCACGAAAATCGTGATAATGGGAACAGGTTCTTGAATATCAAATTAATTGTAATAAAACATTGATCATATGGATTCTTGTGAAGTTTATTAATTCAGGAGGATAAACGAGGGAGGTTCGTATCCTTATCATTAATAGGTAATCTATATGATTGTAATATCAAAGCATGATTAGTCAGAATTTCTCCATTGGAAAGATTGTATAATGTATAGGTGGGTTTCCTAAGTTGTAAAGGAAGCCCAGTCCTTTTCATATACAGAAAATATCTGCAATCTAGGAAAAAGTTGTTTGACGCCTTACATTCCACAGAGAATGATAAGTATCTTAATCTCCATTTAAAATAAACATGCTGCCAACTTTACACATCTTCAATGATTGTTAATGAACGATATGGTAGGGAAAGTCAAATGAGGGTCAGTTTTGAATGAAAATCACAGAATCGCTTTTGATATTACTATATTAACATCGCATTGAGATTTGTATATCAACGCCGTCTCGTCTTGGTGTATAAATATTGTAATTCTATCTTTATTTCACAGTACTTGATGGTTTTACGGCTGTTAACTACTACTGGGGAAGTGTATGTGGTGAAGAGATTGTACCCGTCTTAAGCTTCTGTTCGATGAGTAGAATTCCACCAGCAAGACAAAAGGAAGCATCTCGATCAAAAAATTACAATGCACTTAAAGATTTATTTAAAAGGTAAATATTACATTTATTACACAACGGCTGTATAGTGCAGTAAATAAATTACTTAACAATACTGTTTATTGATCTAAATTCGTATAGAAAAACAATTTTATTTTCTAATTCTTATTGAAATGTGCGACTTCTTTGTATTTTTGTACTATTTTAAATAATTAATTCTAATTTTTTATTGAAAGGTGCGACTTATTTGTATTTTCATACTATCCTTAATAACTAATTCTTATTTTTTATTGAAAGGTACTATTCACTCGTGTCTTTTGTACTATCCTTTGTAAAGTGAGCCTTATCTATATCATATTTTATTTTTATTTTTGTTGTTTCGTAAACACAAGTAACATTTTGAGCGGCGTCATTTATATTCAGCGGTGCCTTTGTGAATGACATCTTGAATTGTTAACATATCTGTACATTTTATACATTCTGTCTCGTTTTTTTGTTCTCGACTGATTTATTTTTTTTTATTTATTTTCGATATGATCATCGCCGCAAACATGTTAAGCTCATAACACATTAAACTTAGACGTTAAGATGCAAAGAATATCACCGTGAAATAGTGTCAAAAGACAAAATCAACAGTCAATGAAAAGTTTACAGTATTGTGATGTTTTAAAAATTAAAAGCACAATTTCAAACTAGAGAGTTTAGGGAGAGCGTTGTGATTTTTTTTTTTTTTGTAGAAATCAACATCATGTAGAAACATTGATTTTATAGCTGGTTTGAATTGAAATAGTTTGACAATCTTGACAACACTGTATAGCATTCATCCAATTAAAATGAAATTGCACTACCACCATCCAGGAAGACAAAGAAATAAGTTAATAATTGGAAACATTTGGAACTCTCCTTCGTCGTTTCACAACTCTGGGAAAATCATGACTCGGCATTTGGTTTCTTAATTTGACAGAAAAGTACTTCCCGACTGGTTATAGAGGATTGTGGGAACTTGTTTGGAACGTTGGTTAAGTAACGGATTAAAAGGCATTATTTTAGTACATATCATTGCCTGAGCATATTTCTATATGCAAACGTGTAGGCTGAATGGGTTACTATATGTCTTATTTTACCTGCGAAGCGCGTTTTCGAGAGATATTAAAATATCTCCCATTCGTGCATGCCTTTTCAACCCGCAACCCCCTTCCACCCAATCACAAAAACAAAAACAAAAAAAAAATCGAATGACCAAGTATTGTTGAAGCGCATTTTGTCAAATTAGTCATTTTCCTGCGTGCGAAGCAATGGTATAATAAATAGAGTCTTAAAATATAAGCTGTATTTTTGTCTTTCTGTCGGGAACCAAAATGCAGCTTAAAGAGCAATACACTGACCATGCATTCTATTTATCCTGCAGCATTGTCTGAAAATTAGACCATCAAAATTTCAACAGGTTTGTTGTTCAATCTTTGTTTACCTGACGTTGACATTTTGCCTGAGTACGTACGTCAAAATACTTGCTCCGCGCAGGAATATAGACCCTACTTTAACGGATATTACAGCTATTTTATGAATTTTCGTAGACAAACGTGTTCATTACAAGATAAAGAATAACTTATTTCAACAGTTATGTTTATTGTTAAACGTTATTTTCAAGTAAATTAGAAAGTTCTTCTGTCAAATTAACCCACTTGTCGAAATACAACTATTTTACGTCACTGCCGAATACAGACAAAATTACATGTTTCAGGTGTATTCCGACAGTGACAGCGTCAGTTACAGGAGAGATCGATGTAGTCTCTCATACAAGTAAAATATAGATATTTAAAGGGAGAGTAATATTTATTTCATTAGATTTTCAAAGGAATAGCAAATAGAATATAGGAGGATTCATGAAAATAAAAGTCAAAGTTTAAAAAGTTTAGAAAACTTTAGAAATCTTTAATACCGAATAAATTTTCTACATGATTATCTTTGTAGGCTAATTGAAGAAGAAATAAGATGCATCAATGACGGATTTGGCAATGGTGACGACGTGAGGGCTTGTGGTGACGTGGGGAGTCTCAAGAGATTTGTCACTATCATCAAACTGTTTGACAGGAATGGATTCGGCATGACGTTTTCTCCGTCCAATTTTGGACTGTGAACTGACCTTTTGAATTTTCTCCTTCCTTTCAAAATGTAATTACATTCTTTGTTTTTCACTCAAATTAGCCAACTTGCTTTTTTATTGTTGTTTTGAAATTTCGGACCAGTCACCTATTCATCGGTCCTTGTTGAAAATGTTGTGTGGACAATTTGCTCACAGTAGTGCAATTTCATAGCTATAAGATGTACTTGTCTAGTGCAAAAATAAAACTCGCATAAAGCATACAACCTAATTGTAAACACAATTACCATTTATCAGGAAAAAATGGAAACCGCTTGACAAAGGAAAACCAGTTTGTGTCATCCGACATCTTGTAACATTGATCCTTGTATTGGTATAATAAACTTCTGCAAAGTGTTAAGGAATTTATGAGTGATTGTACTTGAAGATAAAATGCTATGGATTAAGCTCTAATGTTAATGTAATGTTATATATCTTAGTGGGGCTCGATTTCCGTGGTTCACACACTTTTTTCTGGACTAGACACTTGTTTCTTGTGATAAAATATAGGTCAATAAATCTACTTTAACTGACTTTAATAGTTCGTGGACATATGAATTCATTGATTTAAAAGTACTCACGAGATCAACAAAATATCACGATCTTGGTTTCAAACTTGTTGGTGTAGGAGTTTAACATCCGCTTTCACTGATGTTATCAGTTGTCAACAGACAGGAGAACATGTCCTGTGTTATCCCCGCCTCAAGTAAGACATTTCGCAACAGCTCTTTTAAACGGATTGTTGCACATCATAATTAGAGGGTTACTCGGGTAATGTTAAAACCGTCTTCATCGGCACATCGTTTATATAAGGCGATATTTCAATGTTTTGAGTTTAAAATGACCATTTTATTCATATTGTTTAGTTGCACTTCCGCAAGGTGCTGATTTCCGTAATAGGCAGAGACTACTTGAGATTGTTTGTTTGTTTTGTTTTTTTTTGTTTGCTTGTTTATTTTTCGTTTTCCGTTTGTATGCCCCGAGTGTTTGGGATGATAGTGTTTCTTTGCATTTTTAAGTGACCTGTTAATTATTTTTGGAGTTGTCTCCCTTGTTGCGGATAATTTTTCAGAACCTGAGTTGTCTGTATCATGGTCCGCGTCATCTAATGAGGGCATATCATTAGTGATTGATGATGTTGGTGTCGAGTGAAGTGATTTTTCAGTGTAATGTCTGTTTGAGCGGGATTGTGGATGCTGAATGTGTTTTAGGGGTGATGTGTCTACTGTGATGTCAAGGCCTGTTTGAATGTGTTGTTGATGGTGTCTAATAATGTTATTGGGTGATTTGGGTAAAAGGACTTAATGATTAAATTCCGTTATTGTTTATAATGTGTTTGATTTCGGGCAAGTATTGTAAAACCCAAAATCAGATTATTCACAAAAGTATAACACTCTCTGAGAGAAATTGATAAAGATTATTCAAACTAACGTTATTTGACATTCGCTGTTGTGTCTACCACCAATCGCTTTTTTGATCGGAGATAGCCGAGATCATCACGTGACTTTTCGGAACCTAGTTTTAACCCGCCGTTTTTATATGATTTCTTACTATGTGTAATTACATAATTAGCCAAAACTGAAATTGTCAATCATCCTTCAATTCGTACTTTGTAAAATGACCTCTCGTTTCACGCTTTACGTGTGACAGAGCGAATTAAATGAATTTCAATTAATCTGATTCTAAAATTGCATGCGCAAAGATATTGTTTACACTCCCCGAACGATGATGATATGAATTAGTGTGGGGTAATTCTATTTTATTAAAATTTTTTGACGTTGTTAATGAAATATTATAATTACCAAAAAGTACACAACTTTTAAGAGACATGTTATAATGCTTTTTATCAGTTATGAAATGAACATCATTTCGTCCCTTTAACGGTTGGCTAGAGCCAAAAACTATCATCTTAATGTCCTGATGATGTGTTATTAGTGGTCTGTTGCTTTCAGTTTTCGATGACTGTTTGAATTTATATCGTCACAGGTATGCCTGATTGTGGTTAGAAAGATGTGGTGAAATTCTTTGTGTTGGTAACAGCTTCTGGTGAGTTGTGTGTGAACAACAAATTATAACAGGACGGAAAGTTAAAAGGCCATGGACGCTCTTTCTCTCAGCTGGAACGTCCGTGGCCTCAGATGTAACATTTCAAAACTAAAACAATTATGAAAGGAACAACAAGAGAACAGAGAAACAATACTTGAAGAAACTAAAATGAGAAAAAATGAAAACACAGAAAATAACGGAATATTACGAACTTATTCGATCTGACATTAAAACGGGATTGGCAATCAATATAAAAACAATCTTACGTACAAAACGATCAAAATATTAGACGTATCGCCAGAAATTGAATTGATAAGTACAGAAGAGTCTTTGATAAATATATAGTATAAAAAAAATAGATGAGGATGACCTGTGTCAATAACAATAACATCAATGAGTATGAGTATATCATATCCGGGGATTTTAATGCAGCAAATACACTATGGTGAAGTGAAAATACATGTAGGCGGGATAACATCTTATAATAATGGATCTTAGAAATTGATTTGGTAATAATAAATGATCCGGAACAGGCTACCCGTATAGACATATATACTGGAAATAAATCAAATTTAGATATGACATTAGCTACTCTTATTCTAGCAACAACTATGGAATTATGGGAAACACGTGGAAATATGATAGGGACGAATCATTACCCTTATTATTTCTAAAGTCCATCCTATCAGGGACAAAATTGAATTCCCTGAAAAAATCAAATTTCTAAAGCTATATTGAACGATTTAATCGACTCTGTAACGATATCTCCATGAACAGAACAGCTAAAAATAAATTGAGAGAACAATTAAGAAAACCAATCAAGACTAATGGATAGAATCCTGTAACTCAACAAACGATAAAACAGATACAAAAGCTGTATACAATAGAATTAGGACCATGCAATGCATTTCCCCGAGAAGAATTGCCTGTTTTAGGAAAAAATACAGAGGGCAAAACTATTAGTGAAAGGGCCGATATTTTAGTCGATCAATTTTAAAACGGAAAAAAAAAAGATTTCAGAACTGTACTGAGGATTTTTTTTTTATAAGATAATACCAAAAACACAGACAACACCACAAACATGATTTATATTAGTTGTTGTTAAATGAGATGCCCTTTCGTTCAAATTTCAACTTCTCAACCAGTCAAAGGACCGGAAAGCCTTATACCCCTAAGAACCTTTACAGTTTCATCATAACAATAACGATAAACACAAAGACAAACGAAATACTTACTTTTAATTCTGTCAGTTATTTAACGGTCAGGGTCTATATAACTTCAACGTTTAATATTGGGATGCTTTAGATCCGTGTTTGAAAGGAAAATGATGTTGCATTATTTGTGCAATACAATGCATTCGGATGTAACATTTTCCTAAACGGGAAGTGAGGTGATCGTCAAATCCGTGTGTTGTACGAAGTTAAAAAAAACTCGTATTCTCCCTGCCTGCATCTTGTAAACACTTCTAAAGCTTACTCCGGTTTATACTCATATTTGTCTCAGCTTCATCAACGAATGCATCCAGCATCTTGTACCCGTCAAACTGAAGATTAAAGTTAGCATTCAACCACTCATTGTATACGCCATGATTAACCTGTAGCACAGAATGTACCAAGTTTACCTTAATATATATGTGTTGATAATATTTTCATTAATCCAAAACCCTTCATATTGCGAGTAAATAACTTTAAATGAGATTAATTTATTTCGAGACACTAATACTGAGAGTTTCAATGTTACGTCTGTTTGAGCGGGATTTTGGATGCTGATTGTGTTTTAGGGGTGATGTTTCGTTCGAGTCTACTGTGATGTCAAGGCCTGTTTGAATGTGTTGTTGATGGTGTCTAATTATTTTATTGGGTTTTCTTAAAGGGACTAAATTATTAATTTTCGTTATTGTTTCTAATGTGTTTGATTTCTGGTAAGCATTGTAATACTCAAAATTAGACTCTTCACAAAAGTACAACACTCTCTGAGAGAAATTGATAAAGATTATTCAAACTAACGCTAGTCGACATTCGCTGTTGTGTCTACCACCAATCGCTTTTTTGATCGGAGATAGCCGAGATCATCACGTGACTTTTCGGAACCTAGTTTTAACCCGCCGTTTTTATATGATTTCTTACTATGTGTAATTACATAATTAGCCAAAACTGAAATTGTCAATCATCCTTCAATTCGTACTTTGTAAAATGACCTCTCGTTTCACGCTTTACGTGTGACAGAGCGAATTAAATGAATTTCAATTAATCTGATTCTAAAATTGCATGCGCAAAGATATTGTTTACACTCCCCGAACGATGATGATATGAATTAGTGTGGGGTAATTCTATTTTATTAAAATTTTTTGACGTTGTTAATGAAATATTATAATTACCAAAAAGTACACAACTTTTAAGAGACATGTTATAATGCTTTTTATCAGTTATGAAATGAACATCATTTCGTCCCTTTAACGGTTGGCTAGAGCCAAAAACTATCATCTTAATGTCCTGATGATGTGTTATTAGTGGTCTGTTGCTTTCAGTTTTCGATGACTGTTTGAATTTATATCGTCACAGGTATGCCTGATTGTGGTTAGAAAGATGTGGTGAAATTCTTTGTGTTGGTAACAGCTTCTGGTGAGTTGTGTGTGAACAACAAATTATAACAGGACGGAAAGTTAAAAGGCCATGGACGCTCTTTCTCTCAGCTGGAACGTCCGTGGCCTCAGATGTAACATTTCAAAACTAAAACAATTATGAAAGGAACAACAAGAGAACAGAGAAACAATACTTGAAGAAACTAAAATGAGAAAAAATGAAAACACAGAAAATAACGGAATATTACGAACTTATTCGATCTGACATTAAAACGGGATTGGCAATCAATATAAAAACAATCTTACGTACAAAACGATCAAAATATTAGACGTATCGCCAGAAATTGAATTGATAAGTACAGAAGAGTCTTTGATAAATATATAGTATAAAAATAGATGAGGATGACCTGTGTCAATAACAATAACATCAATGAGTATGAGTATATCATATCCGGGGATTTTATTGCAGCAAATACACTATGGTGAAGTGAAAATACATGTAGGCGGGATAACATCTTAGAATAATGGATCTTAGAAATTGATTTGGTAATAATAAATGATCCGGAACAGGCTACCCGTATAGACATATATACTGGAAATAAATCAAATTTAGATATGACATTAGCTACTCTTATTCTAGCAACAACTATGGAATTATGGGAAACACGTGGAAATATGATAGGGACGAATCATTACCCTTATTATTTCTAAAGTCCATCCTATCAGGGACAAAA